CTGAATGTGAGAAAATATTTCTTCTCCAACCGTGTCGTGGAACCGTGGAATAACCTGCCCGAGACGGTTGTTATGTCTCAATCTGTGGAGACATTTAAATGTCGGCTTGACAGATATATGCTGCAGCAACAAGCGGACTATGTGACTTTTTAACCATGTGACTAGTGAAATATGTGAATCAATGTATGCAGTCACTTAATGCTGTAATTTCTTCACATTTTTGCTTGTTTATCGATTTTTTATGTACAAATAGGGAGTTCAAAGGCGTAAGCCTATTTCCCTCAAATACACTGACACTGACACTGACAAGTAAGCAAACCTGTCCGTATTACAAGCAGCAATGCGCCAATCCACCGAACATCTAACGTTGGCCTAGCTGCTTACTCTAGTCATCACAAAAGACCAAGAATTTGCGACGCCGTTTGCCAGGATTTGCAGAGATCTAACAGCCCTGTTGATATAGCGGCTTAGAGAGAGAGAGGGAGGGAGAGAGAGAGAGAGAGAGAGCAGACGCGGAGTTGTTCAAAGTTCCGGCATCGCCGTGAACTGCGCGGAGATCGCATATTCTATTATAATTGCACATAGCACCCCTCTTTGACTCTCTCGTGTGCATGTCATGAAGTCCGCCGCTTGCTCACCTTACCATGATAACAGGTCAGGTGTTGGTTTTTTGACTGAAAGCAAGCAGTCTTGACAAAAAATCACAGTTTTTTCCTGTTTAAAGCGCTGCTATTCACCCAACCCGACGCCTAACGGGTCAATAAAACGTCCTCGCAGGACCTAACAACGAGGAAGGGAAGTTCAAATACCACCATGCGCACAGTAAAATGATTGACACTCTGCGCGGAGCGGCTTGCACCGGGGCAAAGAAGTATACCATTAGTTCTGTGGTCGACAGTCATCAGTGGGATGCCTGGCGTCCTTGTTCACAACCCCGCTGACTTGAGGTCATTCAGTTTCACAGAGGGCGGTTCCAGGTCTGGAAGGTTGCAACCTGTACGTAGGCATACATTCAGCTGTTCACAGTCGTCCATGCTCACTCGAACGTGCCCCCCCCTCGGTTGGAATCAAAGGCACCTACGCCGTCTCCTTCTCGGGCATGACTTAACACTGTTGGCACACACCCTAGCCTCTCCAGTGGCCACTGTCACCGACCACAGTGCAGACTCCGAGTCCCCTGCACGATAAAATCCCTCAACCGCGAGTTGACTTGGTGAGTGTAGCCCCCCAACGTACTTCGCAGCTACAGTGGCTCAACCTGGTGATGATTCCCAACCTCCACTCAAACAACAAGAAGAATCCTCGTCAGGATTTGTTTTTAATTAAAAAGAAAGTAAAAATAAGCGCACTCAGTGGATGTCTCCAAAACCGACGGTGTTGTAAAAACAGTATGAAAAGCATCGGAAGGGTATCATAAGAAAGTAAAGAAAGAGTACTCCTTTTACTACAGCCATGCAGGGATGGGGGGTGTGTGGGTGACTCGGTTAAGCGCCAGTTTAGGTTGTCGTGAATCACCTCTCTGACCGCGAGGTACAATGGATGAACTTTCTTTGAAACTTTGATATCGCTTCTGTGACAAGATCGGTCACGACGAGAGGTGGAATTCGAAGCGCTTCATCCGTCAGCTCCGTCTCCGGCGTGGATTTGCGCCACGAGACGTACACGTGATCCTTCCAACGTGCAATGGCCTCGAAGTCGAAGTTCTTGCCTTCTGAGGCCATTGGAAAGAGTTCAACTACAGCCGACTGGTGTGGCATGTACATGGCATGCGTCATGCCGGCTCCGTGGACACCTAGCAGGATGTCTGCATTGCCCGTGAACTTCAACTGTTCCTGCATAGTCAGCTGATCCAGCTGGACGCCGACCACCGATTCCACCAGTGGGACCGTCTGACCGTCTGGCAGTGATACGGTTGCCTTCTGAAGGTGGTAGAGGATCTCCTGTTCATTGGCAAATTTGCGACCCACGGTACGCTGGCGCGGATGTGAGACGTAATTGCGTCGCAGAATGACAACTAGCCGCGGTCGACACCGACTGTGACTTGGGTTCTCACCGGCGGCCAATGGGACTACCGGCTGCACCTCCACACCATGCGAAGTGAGGAAATGGTCGCGAAATTCCTCAATCAGGTGGATGCGGGGTGTCTTTAGACGTGTCATGGGACTGTGGTAGCCGGGCGGACTCCAGACAGCCCGGTCTGCCAGGATGAGACGACCTCGCAGCCTCTTAGGATCGCCCTCAGGGTCTGGAATCGAGGGCAACATTGTGGGCCTCTGCGTGAAGACGGTGGGTCGGTACTGCCCAATTCGTGAGTATCCGCCAAACAGGGCCAACCAGACGCTGTCCAAGATGGCTGCCGGGTGAGCATCGATGAGGAGAACGTGTACATCCTGTGGACGGAGGCCCAAACGTCGAACTCCGAGGTAGGTGTTATACCACTCGGTTGTGCAGTGGTGAAGATTAACGTACTCAAACCTCTTTACTAGAAACACTGCTTTGACCGACTGAAAGGGTGCAGAGGGGAATCAAAAGATGAAGCGGATATGTCCAGACTGGTAGAGAATACAAGATAATATCGATCCGCGCAGAGGATACAATAAATAATTTCCCTAAATTCATGTCAGCCCAAATTATGGTCAGTCTAGGGCAGGAAATCTGTAAACGCAAGACGGGCGTCCAGAAAGGACCACAAGCGCGACCGCCATATAGGGGGAACTCGAACTGGTAGCCGTGAGCTACAGTGCGTGACCGATCTCATGAAATGTTGGCCAAAATTCTGCAATGCATTTCTGATTAGGAAGGATTACTAAAGTTGAGCTGTTATACTGATTACCATGCAGCATAACCCTATAACATTTTGGACCCGTCAGGATGTCGGCTTTTGAATGCACGTCTTTTTGACTTCCTGCAGAAACCACACTAGGCAGAAAATGATTACTTAAGTAGCATGCATTTTTCCTATTGATTTTCGATGGTCTTATAAATTCAAATATATTTAGAAATCACGTACAAAAATATGCATTCTTTTGCTCATTTGGTAGGAAATCACATTGTCTTCATAGTTTATGCCCGAAGAAAGTGTGTATTTAGGTTTTAAAAAAGTTTCCCAATTCCCGAATAATTTTCGGCCCGATCTGCCATGGCATCAGCGTTTAGCAATTTCAGTCTACAATGTTCATGCTTTCCGCGTAAGGAAAATCATATATTTCCCTATCCCTTTAAGAAGATACCATATAGATTTCATGAAATTTCGCAATGGATTCGGACTGTGTTGTACATTTCATGAAGAGCATTAGTAAACGGACATGTGCCATCTTGCATGCATGGACATCGCACGGTCTTAAAAATCTTATAATTAGAAACTTTTTTAAAACCAAAATATACACTTTCTTCGGGTATAAAATATGAAGACAATGTGAGTTGCTACCAAATGAACAAAGGAACGCATATTTTTGTGCATGTCCTCCATAAAATAAATTTTAATTTATAGGACCATTGAAAATCAATAGGAAAAATGCATGCTACCTAAGTAGTCATTTTATACCGAGTATGGTTTCAGCAGGAGGTCAAAAAGAAGTGCATTCAAAAGCCGACATCCTGGCGAGTCCAAAAGGTTATAGGGTTATGCTGCATGGTAATCAGTATAACAATCCCGCTTAAGTAATCCTTCCTAATCGGAAACGCATCCAGAATTTTGGCCAACATTTCATGAGATCGGTCACGCACTGTAGATCCGGATGCTCTGTGCACAATGGAAAAGCCAGGATTTTGGAGAAAGTTTGTCATGCCAACTTCTAAACGCATTACCAGCAAGTCATCATGCGCGTGAAGAACGCCTACGGTGTGATAATCAATAACAACCCTGACCAAGACTCGCATTGCGGAAAAAAACGCGTCGAAGGCACCCACTGGGCGTTGTCATGTTGTCTTGTTCATTCCTGGCCTTTGTAGACTACGTTCCAGTAACATTCACTCTTTCTCCTAGCGATGAAATACAATTAAAAAAATGCAAAAGGCAATCCGAAAGTTGAGCAAAGAAGAATCAAATGTCCTGTAGCATGCAGGCTACCTTCCGTCCGGCGTGTGATAACTTGCTGAAAGGAAGGCTACACTCGGTCCGCCAAGAACAAAGTAAATGTGCACATAAAACCTGAGGATACATAAGTTGAATAAACATATTTTTATATGTTTAGTGTCGAAAAAGTTCTGGCCATAGTCAAAGCTTTCAAGTGTCACGTTCAAAGACAAAAAAGTTGTGGCAATTGCATGCAACCATGAGACTTTCTGGTCGTACATCCTACAATTTCATTCTAAATATCTGCCGGCAAGGGACACCAACGGAATCAAGGACCCGTATTTCCATTACATATTAACAATTGGTGTTGGACTTTGAAGCAGCTGGAAGCATTTTGTATACAGGCCTGGGCCATTAAGTACAGTAGATGTGCTAACTCATGAAATGTCAACCAACATTTCGAAATGCGTTCTCGTTGTAAAACTAATCATGATGCAGCATAAATATATAATGGTCCAGTTACCTCGCGGAGTCGGCTTTCGAAAGAATTTATTTTCGGCTGCATGCAGGATCCAGACTCTGCAAAAAAATGACTGCTTAGTAGCATGCAATTTTCTCATTGATTTTCAATGCCCTTGAAAATTCAATTATATTTCATGGAAAACATGCATAAAAATAGTCAATCTTTACTTATTCTGTAGAAAATCACGTCTTCTTCCAATTTAATACTCAAAAGAAGAGTATAATTCGGTTTTAAAAAAAGCTTTTAATTGTGAGATTTTTTAATACCGCTAAATGGCCGTTCATGAAACGTCATGTATCTGCATTTACGAATGTGGCTTGTAAAGTTAACAATATTGCTCAAATCCACTGCTTAATTTTATGAACCTCATATGGTCTCCTCTTTACACCGTAGAGCAATGCACGGTTTTCCGTACACGGAAAATATACAGCTTGTAGTTTTGAAACCCTGAATGCAAGTGTAACAGCAGGTCGAGTTCAAAATTATTCGGGAATTAGAAAAGTTTTTTAAAACCGAATTATACTCTTCTTTTGAGAATGAAATTGGAAGAAGACGTGATTTTCTACCGAATAAGTAAAAGAATGAATATTTTTACGCATGTTTTCCATGAAGCATAATTAATTTTCAAGGGCATCGAAAATCAATGAGAAAATTGCATGCCACTTAAGCAGTCATTTTTTTGCAGAGTCTGGATCTTGCATGCAGCCGAAAATAAGTTCTTTCGATAGCCGACACCCTGAGGTAACTGGATCATTATAGATTTATGCTGCATCATGATAAGTTTTACAACACTACTTAATTTATCTTTTCGAACCGAGAACGCATTTCGAAATTTTGGTTGACATTTCATGAATTAGCACATCTACTGTAGATACGGTGCACAAACGCATTTTGCACGTCCATGGGGTTTTCGAAGAAGACCTGAGAATGAACTTCACAGAACCCGCTTTCAATTGAACAGAAAAAGTAACCCCGCAATGACTACTTCCGACTCCCTCCAGTACGTCACTTACTTATTCTTCCTTGCCAACCGTTGTTGCCTTTTCGTGTGCACTGGTGCAGGGTTCTATCGGCCTGATTTTCAGTAGTCTTACCTCGTTGGATCCTAAATTGACACAAGTAGTTGCCTGGAGCGAGGTAAGTTGGTACCACCCAACCGAAATCACTTCGGCAACCTGATACTCACCGCCGAGTCACCGCCTTGCAATACTGCTACATATTCAACACGACGAAGGAGGGAGGTGAGTATGAGTATGCTCCGATAGCGGTGCACTTTGCATAGACGTGAAGAATTGAGCTAAACGTTCTGGCAACCCTGTTGTTTACTCCACCCAACCCTTGCCTCGCACCAATTTATCTTCTATGACTCCATGTACCTGTGCCCTGGACAGGGGTCGCACCTCGGCAAATAAAGGCAGCCGCTGGGAACTCTTTCCTATGCGATGAAGTTTTGTGTGCTTTTTTGTACCAAATTTTCCCTCTCCGGGCCTGTTGTGTGGCTTCAATCAATGCTATGAGACATCCGTATTACCAGAAAGGGGGGATTCCACAAGTCGCTGTCTTATTCAGATTTTTTTGGTAAACTTCCAGGTGGTGCAGTCATGTTTAAACTCTGGGGAGTTTGACCTTGACATAATTGGAAAGAACTTAGCTTCGACGGCCTGGTATGCGTTGGCACTTCTCGGACACCTGGTTGGCTGACGGTAGGTGCGTTTGCGCTCCCCCTGGGTATATAGGTCATGAGCACGGCTCCCCAATCGTTCATGTCTTTTTTACCCGCTGTGGTGCTGTTCCTGTTGGTTAGAATCCTGGTCAAGTGCTTGTTGTGAACCAGGGAATGCGGCGGTACGCCCAGGTGCGGGTCCGTCCGTGCCAGCCACTTACGCCCTCCTTCACCTCCCGTCTTCTTGACTATGTCCTGACACTAAGGTCAGGTGGGGAGGAGATAGTGCAGTAGATGCTGTGCAAGTCCACAACCACTATAAACTAACTCACGCACAAGTCCCTGTGTCTTCTCCATTTTGCTGTGGAGCCCAGGGTGGACATCGTCGGACACGACGGTCGAACTGTCTTCGTCGTTGTTGTCGTGTGTGTATGTCCCCAACACGGGGGCCGAATCGGATTTTTAGATCGAAACAGCAGTTAAAGATCCCGAACACCTACGTCCCACAATCAGTGGGCAGACGGAGTGTCTATGTCATACAGAAGATGGGTGACCGGTGAGCGCGTACGGCAGAAACATTATTCCACGGGCAGTGGCGATAAACAACACTACAAACACGCATTGAAAAGCTCCCTCAAACGCCTTTTAAGTAACCAAAAGGCGTGGGAAAAGCTTGCACGAAGCGAGTGGTCTACTGAATGGTCTGAGTAGGGGGAAAACAATAGACACGAAGGACTGCCGCATAAAAATGCCACCAACGGCTGCCGAGGGCTGAGACTCACTGTAATGTCAACAGACGTAACCCCCGCATCTGCAGAACAAAATTACAATGAAAAAATCGGTAACAATCGGGAGATGGCACCTAAAAAAATTCGCCTAACCAAAGCAGCCTGTCTTACGGGACATCTGGTAATAGGGGTTTTATGGTTGGTGGCTGGTCGGGATGTACGATACTAGCCGACGGAAAGGCTTAGTTGAACAGGTGAATGATCGAAGTTGGCCCGTTCTCCGTTCCGTTTTTACAAAATGGGTCGCCAAAGCAGTATAGTGGTAACGGACGAATGGAAGGCGTATAATCGTCTTCCCTCAGAAGGTTATCTACACTTCTCTGTTAACCACTCAAAGAACTTCAAGGACCTTACCACCGGACGGCACACCAATGCCACTGAGGCATACTGGAGTAGACTGAAAAGGAAACTCCACGAGGGAGACCCTGTATGTGGTCGAGCTGTGTGGGCTCACATAGAAGATGCATAGTAGCGTCTTTGGTTTGGCCCCAATGCCATGTCTTTGACAGACGCCTGGGAAATGTTCCTGTCCCATGTTGTGCAGACTTATCCAATTTAAAAGTGATTTTGTTTTGTAATATACTGCCATAATGCGAATGTATGCCGTATAATCAGGTGTACGTGTGTAACGATGGGGAAGGTTGGCTAAAAGCGACCATCGTCCATGTAACCTCCTGCGATGCTCGTTCGGCCAACCCATATAAGGCCGTCGAGGAAAGTCCAAGTAGTGCGCGAAAGTAGGACTGCAACCGCTGATATAGTCTGAAGGAAAATGAGTCCACTGTTAAAGGTATTATTTCTAGGTAACGGATTTTTTGGGTGCAATCTCCCGATTGTTCCCGAAAAGTCACTGTGGACACCCGTCCGCCTGTCACGAACTGCTGCATTCTGGGCTCGCCTTGATCAGCCATTGTAGATGACGCAAGAAGAGCTCCGTCAGAACATAAAGGAATACCCACTAGCACCAGAAGTTCATCCATGGTGTCAAAGTGTTCATATTATCGCCACGCATTTCACTCGCGCATGGACTTGGTAGGTTACCCGTAAGTGCATCATATTTCACCGGAGAACCGGGATCCATTGCATGAATCTTAACCGACCTTGGCATTTGGCCACCGCATGGACTTACATGACCCCATACGCACACAGGAAAACTTGCGATGCAACAATACACAGTCCGGATCTGCGCACGGTCTCTCTCTCTCTCTCACGCTCATCACGAAGATCCACTTGGGCTGCCCATTACTTCATACAAGCAGCAACGAAATCACGCAGGACTCGCGGAAGAACCACGCGATGCAACCAGCAGGAGAAACGCCGAGCGTGAGAATGAGCTCATTCCACCTATGTGTACACTATGTTTTATAGTGAAATCAGCTCGAGGGAAGTTAAGGACAAGTAAGCAGGTGTCACAGTTAGATGGAAGATGGTACGCCATGTCAATCAGTGTGTCAACTAACATCATCAGTAATCACTATGGCAAATCCGAAACTCTATAAACTAAAGCGACGTGCTCGGATAGGTAGCTTGGAAGGTTATGGACTGATGGAATGACTAGGACGTAATCGGGGCTGAGAGGTAGAATGTAGTAATGGTTGGACTGACTTATGTGCCCGCCTAAACAGGGCATGGGAATACGAGCGGTTGCCCAAGTAGTAAAGGTGGACATTCTCATAATTCCGGAAAGACAGATACTTCCGCGTACTAACCCCAACAGCAACCTTAATATAAAACTAAGCCGTTGCCCTAGTCTTAACTCTAACCTCACCCCGAACCTTGACTATGCAGTTAACAGCAGACCTAACCGTGACCGTAAACTTGACCCTGACATGCCTGACCGTTAACTGTAGATCTAGCCTTAGACCTAATCCTTAACCTGACCATAACCCTAACCTTAAACCTGACTTGGTGGCTACGAAGGGGAACTTGAAGCCCGTTTCGAAGTTGCGGGCCGTCATTTACGATAATTCGCCGCCTCGTCAGACGGGCAGTTTATGTTTGTTGTATGCACCGTCCGCGCATGTGTTCCGGTCTGGCCGGTGTAGTTACTTTTGCTCCGTGACACCGCCATACACAACCCTCACCAGAGAGGAAGCGATCTCGGATGTTGCACGCCTCACACAGAGGGGAAGAATTTCCACGGGATAGAGTTGACTGGATGGATTCGGGCAGTGTTAATATCTCATCTTCACAGAGCACACGGGCGTCACCCTTCGCACGTCCACGGAGAATGATGAAAAATGAGATCGCGTCGTCCCAGTCCGATTCGGCCCACTTTTTGCCGCCGTTTGGATACGCAAATTTACCTCCTATCACAAGTACGCCGAGCTTCCTTCGCACAGTAGGTGGGCTAACTCATGAAATGTCAACCAAAATTCCGAAATGCGTTTTCGTTTCGGAAAGACTAATTAAGTAGGGTTGCAAAACAGATTATCGTGCAGCGTCATTCTATAATAATTCAATTACCTCGAATAATTCCCGAATAAGTTGAACCCCGACCTGCCGTTACACTTGCATTCAAGACTTAAAAAATACTAGCTGCACACTTTTTCGTGTATGGAAAACCATAGATTTCTATACGGTATTAACAGGAGACCATAAGGGATTCAGAAAATTTAGCAGTGGATTTAAGACATGTAGTTAAATTTGCGAGCCGCATCGATAAAGGCAGAGACATGACGTTTAATGATCGGCCATTTAACGGTGTTAAAAAATCTCACAATTGGAAAATTTTTGAAAGTCGAATTACATCCTTCCTTCGTTTATAAAAATGGAAGAAGTAATTTTCTACCGACAGAACAGAAGAGTGAATATTTTTATGCAAGCTTTCCATGAAATATAATTGAATTTTTACGGGCATCGAAAACCAATGAGAAAAATGTATGCTGCTTGAGTAGCCCTGTTCTGCAGAGTATGATTTTCGCATGTAGTCGGAAAGAAATTCGTTCGAGAGACAGTATCTTGAGATAACGGAATTATTATAGAATTATGCTGCTCGATGATTAGTTTTACAATCCTACTTAATTAATCCTTTCGAAACGAAGATGCATTTGAGAAAATTCAGTTGACATTTCATGAGTTAGCCCACTTACTGTAGGTGCGTGCAACAACAGTTAAAATGAGGCCCTCGCAGCCATGGACATCGTCGGCAGTGACGGTCAAGTTGTCGTAATGAGGCCACAAGAAGCCTACTGCTGACATAACAGAAGACAGCGCTACTTCAGTTCTTCGATCTTCCAATGCGTGATGAGTCTCTCATGTATGCAGGAAGCATATTTTCTGATAATACTGGTACACTACTTGGTGACCAAACCATGTGTGGTCAAGGTGCATGGACTGTTCTAAATCCGTCTGACACTGCTTTCAATACCAACGCCAGATCTAATGGCTTCCTGTTAGTGTGGCCTTTACCACACTATCATGAACGTGAGGCCTCAGATGCCAGCTTATTTCTGTCAAACTCTGTCCGTACGAAGCACACATAGGCGAGTTGTCCAGCCTTTTCAGCCACTGCGACTTAGCCCGCTTTCGGTCGGCTTGACTTCGACTTGTCATCGGTGTAAGGTGAGTGAGTGAGGAGGGAGAGTGCGCGTGTGGTAGATGCTGCGCAAGTCTTCATCACTATAAACTAATTCACGCGTAAAATCACTGGCGCCGATCCCACTCCGTAGGGCATACAACAAATGTCGTCGCTTGCATCAACCGAACTCCCAGTGACGTTTCTCGTGAAACACTGATCTAAATTTAGAAACCTGACCTCGGTTAGGGAAGGTCACTTACTTGGCGTTGCTATAATGATTGACACGCAGCATAATCCCAAGAAACTTCAGTCACTACAACATGCAGGCCTTTGCATACTTGCTTTTCGGGTGGCTGCAGAAATCACACTCTGCTAGAACGACTAATTCAGTTGTATTAGTTGCGAATCGATTTTGGATGTCCTAATAAAACCCAGAATATCTCAAAAGAATCATGCATAAGAATATTCTCTTTGTGTCCATTTGAAAAGTATATATGCGATTGTGAGCTTTTAAGACAATGAAATGTCTACTCCAATATTATCGTATCTGTCCGATTGGTAATCCTTCTTATTAAGTGTACAACGTGGCTCATAAAAACTACAACATGCTATGAGCCCTGTGTGGTACTCTTGATAATGGCAGATGAGAAGTGAACAGTTTGTGGTTTTGGGATCTTAAACGCGAATGCATCGACAGGCCATGCCAACAATCATTATTAGGGCATTTGGGAACTTTTTCGAAAACGAGGAAGTACAGTTCCTTCGAGTACAGAATTCGACTGACTGAGTGAAGCCGATACTCTGGTGCACTTTTTCGCGACAACAGAGTGTATCCTTCTCGCTGCAATAGACACGTTCAGCTTAAAGGTATCATGACGTACTGGAGGTCGTGGCTTAAAGTGTTCCTATTGTTTCCGATGGCCATCATTGCGGTGCCTGACGACTTCCTTCAATACCCCACTGCGTCAAGGTCATTTTCACTGTCAAGGGGCAGTTTCGGACGCTCAGTCTGACCGGCTTCAGCTGGGACACGCTGTGCACAGACAGCCACAGTCGCCAATCCACCTGTTGAACACACCATCCCCCGGCTAGTGCAACACACACTAAGCGAATAACAACTGAGTTTGCCCCACAAACACATTAAAGTAACTGTCATTACTCGTCTCACGCTCGCAGGCATGACTCGACATGGTTCAGCGGTTAGGGGTGTTGAACTTCCAACCAACAGGTCGCGGGATCGAGCTCCAGGTGTTCCACACCTCGGGTTTGGGTAGGACTGGCTGACGACGGCTAATAAGCCAGAAATTTTTATTCCCATCTCCCTTGTCTTTCTCGGTAATGTTACTCTGCCTATAGCATGCGCCGCTGTGCAGCTGCTGCTTGTACTCGTGAGAGAGCCAGTAAGGCACAAAGGGACGAGCGAGTTCCGTAACACGATCGGCGAGCTCCCCTCTACCACGAAGTGACACCGTCAGCAGATGCCCTGACCTCGCCAGTAGCCACTGCATTCTGAGACATCAGCTCGATGTTCAATGCACCCAAAACTCCTCTTTCTGGTGACTCCCGTCTTCGCTTGCTAATCGAAACTTGACTTAATGATTGTGGATTCCTGGCACTCGCATTAGTTGCACGACACACTGTCCAACTGCAAATTTCGGTCGTCCTTTGAAATGCTAGTCAGACTGCGATTATGCACTGTTCATGTGACCTGTTTGACACACACATACAGTAGATGTGCTAACTCATGAAATGTCAACCAACATTTCAAAATGCGTTCTCGTTTCGAAAAGATAAATTAAGTAGTGTTGTAAAACTAATCATGATGCAGCATAAATCTATAATGATCCAGTTACCTCAGGGTGTCGGCTTTCGAAAGAACTTATTTTCGGCTGCATGCAAGATCTATACTCTGCAAAAATGGCTACTTATGTAGCATGCAATTTTACAGTGATTTTCGATGCCCTTGAAAATTAATTATGCTTCATGGAAAACCTGCATAAAAATATTCATTCTTTTACTTATTCGGTAGAAAATCACGTCTTCTTCCAATTTCATGCTCAAAAGAAGAGTATAATTCGGTTTTAAAAAACTTTTCTAATTCCCGATTTATTTTGAACCCGACCTGCTGTTACACTTGCATTCAGGGTTTCAAAACTATAAGCTGTATATTTTCCGTGTACGGAAAACCATGCATTTCTCTACGGTGTTAAGAGGAGACCATATGAGGTTCATAAAATTAAGCAGTGGATTTGAGCAATATTGTTAACTTTACAAGCCACATTCGTAAATGCAGATACATGACGTTTCATGAACGGCCATTTAGCGGTATTAAAAAATCTCACAATTAGAAGCTTTTTTAAACCGAATTATACTCTTCTTTTGAGTATGAAATTGGAAGAAGACGTGATTTTCTACCGAATATGTAAAAGAATGAATATTTTTATGCATGTTTTCCATGAAATATAATTGAATTTTCAAGGGCATCGAAAATCAATGAGAAAATTGCATGCTACTTAAACAGTCATTTTTTTGCAGAGTATGGATCTTGCATGCCGCCGAAAATAAGTTCTTTCGAAAGCCGACACCCTGAGGTAACTGGATCATTATAGATTTATGCTGCATCATGATTAGTTTTACAACACTACATAATTTATCTTTTCGAACCGAGAACGCATTTCGAAATTTTGGTTGACATTTCATGAGTTAGCACATCTACTGTACTTTTTGGGTGGCTGCAGAAGTTACACTCTGCTAGAACGACTACTTCATTTGTATTAATTGTGAATTGATTTTGGATGCCCAAATAAATCCCAGAATATCTTAAAAGAATCATACGTAAGAATATTCTTTCTGTGTCCATTTGAAAAGTATGTATGCTATTGTGAGCTCTTAAGACTGTGAAATGTCTACTCCAATAATGTCGTGTCTGTCCGATTGGTAATTCTTCTTATTAAGTGTACAACGTGACTCATAAAAACCACAAAATGTTATGTGCCCTGTGTGGTAATCTTGGTAATGGCAGATGGGAAGCGAACAGTTTGTGGTTTTGAGACCTTAAACGCGAATCCATCGACAGGCCATGTTAACGAGTTTTCGGGCATTTGGGAGCTTTTTCCAAAACTGGGAAGCATTGTTCCCTCGAGTATAGGATTTGACTATAACGTAATTTACTACAAAATGTGTACGAAGGCCATACGTTTGTATTCTTCCTATAAAACATGTTGGACTTTTTGAAGGCATCGAACATCAATTTAAAAAATTCAGGTCAATTAAGTGGTCATTTTTAACCAGGCGGCCGGAAAGACACGCATTAAGCAGTTGCCGTCTTGACGAGACTGAACTATCTTGGGATTATTCTCCATGGTAACCACCAACGCAAACTAGAGAATGCAATCCGTCTAAGTGAAATAACATTACGACACTTCAGTGAATATTTCAAGAGGTACGATGGCCGCACAGATGGACTGTTCTAGTCAGCCTGGCCCGATCCATTTTTGAGTCAGTGGGGCTTCTCTTCATTTCTTCACTCTCCAAAAGACTCGCGTCAGTTTACAATTTCAATGCTTCCGTCCGGCTTTCGCGCCTGTTTCGAATGGTTGCCCCCCTCCCCCCCAGCTCAAGAGCGTAGGCAGATGGCTAGCTGGTGAATCAAAGTGATTTGAGGTATCCTGACGGAGGCAGTCTGTGACTACTCCGCACCATAGTGATAGGGGCTTCAGTCTACGGGATTTGGAAAGTGTACTCGGATCAGAATATATTAAAGAACACTCAACACCCAGAATTTCTGGCCAATTAGTCTGACGCTGACCCAACTGCCTGTCAGATGTCTCTCCAGAATGGGGACCTATGCTGCCTACTCTACTCGACCTCTTAACCTCAACTTCTTCAGACTGCGTTTACTGCCTAGAACTGCGTCTGAGTCACACCAGTCAGCGCCGCCGTCGCGTGTCCAACGACGACCTGCGCGTGAGTAAGTTAACAGTGAAGCAGCCTTACGCAGCATCTAACGCACTTCCTTTCTTCCACCAACTATCTTGCTCCAACTGCAAGACGGTCGAAGGTGGGGCTCGGGCACAATGGCTGACAAGACTAAACAGCCGGTCTACGCGTGCCATACGCGGCCTGGTACCCACACCATGCATCGGGTTACTGTGGGGGAGGCTCGGGTCTCGCGGACCTGCAAGTGCTAGAGGAGCCACGTTGCGAAGGAGCCATTGCAGACCCGTTAAGGGCCGAGTTACAGCTTCAGTTGGCAACATGACTGATGGTGGTTGTGATAGAGTACAGTGAGGAATGTGCAGGACCCACCCAAAGCAAATGAGGACAAAGTCTTTCGCAGAAAGGCGCAAGATGGCGGAAGAGTTGGGCATGGACAGACTTTTATAAAGGTCGGCAGTGGAAGGGGAGGTTCTTAGCGTCTGGTGACGCGATGGCAAAGTCGCGCCAATTGTACTCGCCCTGTGGGCTGCACTGTAGACGACAGGTTTTGCCAGCCTTGGCAACACTGGCATAAATGTAACACACAAGCAGCATCCATGACGCTCTTTTGTTTGTAAAGAGAGTACCTGTTTTTAGCATTGGATACGGTCAAACCTACCCGCGTGAATGGCCTCACAACGACAGAAAGCGGACGCATCCAAACCTAACATTCGTCTCAGTGGAGGGTGAGGTGGGTGAGAGGACGCGTTGCTTTCAGCGAGCGTCGTGGTATTTGTGTAAGCCGTTAGCTGCACTGTCGTAAAAAAATCCTCTGGACCAACCCCGACTGTGGCGAGGCAATCTGGCCTGGCCCCATGAAATCCACGTCGCGTGCAAGACAGCATGGATGACGGACAACCCTGGCAGTGGCATAATTCTATTCTGTGGATGTCTGTCACAGCTACGTTGCCATGGCTACGCGACTGTACAGTGAGTGACCGATCTCATGAAATGTCGAGAAAAATTCAGAAAAGCGTTTTTAACTAGGAAGTATTACTTAGGCGCCGTTGTAACACTGATTATATTCCGGCATAATCCTATAATATTTCGGACTCGGCAAGATGTCAGATCTTGAATGCATTTCTTTTCAATCGCCTGTGGAAACTGCACTCGGTAAAAAATGACTACTTATGTAGCATGCATTTTTCGTACTGATGTACGGTGGTCTTATAAGGTCAAGTATATTTTACAGAATATTTATACAAAACATTCCTTTGTTCGCTCATTTGATAGAGAGGCATGTAAACTTTATACTTGATACTTGAAGAAGGAATATATTTAAATTTTAAAAAAATTTTATGATTCCTGATTAATCTGGAGCCTGATCAGTCGTTGCATTAGCGCCTAATGACTTGCATGCCTTCCGCGTAAGGAAAATCGTATATTCTTCTACCCCTTTAAAAAGTTACCATATTGAGCCCATAAAATTTTGCAATGGATGCGAACTATGTTGTACATTTCATGAGAAACAGTGGCAAAAAGAAAGGTACGAGGATGTATGAATGGACATTGCGCGGTCTCAACAACCTCATAATACGGGACTTTTTTAAAACTTAAATGTACTCCTTCTTCAAGTATAGAATATAAATGTAACATGATTCTCTATCAAATGAGTGAAAAAAGGAATATTTTTGTGCACACCTATAAAATATGCCTGGTCTTATAAGACCACCGAAAATCAATGCGAAACATGCATGCTAAATAAGTAGTCATTTTTTACCGAGTGCGGTTTCTACAGGCGATTGAAAAGAAATGCATTCAAGATCCGACATCTTGCCGAGTCCGAAATATTATAGGATTATGCCGGAGTATAATCAGTGTTACAACGGCGCCTAAGTTATACTTCCTAATTAAAAACGCATTTCAGAATGTTGGTCACCATTTCATGAGATCGGTCACTCACTGTACATTCGGGTGTCAGCTCCTTGGTTGTTAATGATTTTGGAGGTGGTATGACCAGTATTCTAGCCAAAAGCAGCCACCCAGACATGCCAATGACACATCTCACCACTAACTATCAACCGGAGGGGGAGAGCTGTCCCGTTTGGCTGATATGCAAACAGGTCTCCGCTCCGCATACAAAGCGAACGACTTAAGTTAACCCCTGCTCATCAGCTTCCGGGAATGGTTTGAAAACCTCAGACACATCATTGCATTGATACCTGCTCGATCTAGTAGAAAATTTAGGTCGAGATAAGGTCGGTGACCTAGCTGACAGAGCCTCTAACTCATGGGACAAAGGTTATGCAGGTTACTTATCAGGATAGTTTTGACATACTCTTCGTTAAACGCATTGGGTGTTAGTTACATTGAGTGACCTATCTCATGAAATGTTGGCTGTAATTCTGAAATGCGTTTTCGATTGGGAAGGTTTACTTGGGCGCGGTCGTATCACTGATTATCTTGTAACACAATCCTATAATATTTTGAACTTGGCAGGATGTTAGCTTTTGAATTCATTGCTTTTTAGTTTTCTGTAGAAAGCAAACTCGGTAAAAAAATGGCTACTTAAGTAGCATGCATTTTTCTCATTGATTTTCGATGGTCTTGTAAATACAAATATATCTTATAGAAACCATAAACAAAAATAAGCTTTCTTTCAGTCAATTAATAGAGAATCACGCCTTCATATTTTATACTCAAGGAAGGAGTATAATTAGGTTTTAAAAAGTTTCTACTTATGAGATTTTTAAGACTGTAAAATGTCCATTCACATAGCATCGCACCTCACCATTTACCACAGCTCCTCATGAAACGTACAACACAGTCCGCACCCATTGCAAAATTTTTATGGACTCTGTATGATATCTTTTTAATGGCATAGAAAAATATGTGCTTCATCAGCTTCCGGGAGTGGTTTGAAAACCTCAGACACATCATTGCATTGATACCTGCTCGATATAGTAGAAAATCTAGATCGAGATGAGGTCGGTGACCTAGCTGACAGAGCCTCTAACTCATGGGAAAAAAGTTATACAGGTTGGTTACCAGGATGGTTTTGACATACTCTTCGTTAAAAGCATTAGCTGTTAGTTAGGTCACATAATATAACAGGAGTAGACGCATCATCCTTCCTGTCTGTAAGTTGCAAGTAGAATAAGCGACATGTGAATCTAGAAAATATCGAAGGGGAATAAGACACTTACTGGAGTCGTGCCAAAGCGTTTGGAGATGCCGTCAGAGAACGCGGCTCTCTGTGTAGCCGCCAGGAATTCAGGGAAGTGGCTCCGTGGGAACTGCACGAGGCTGGAAGTGATCATGATACCACAGGCATGCTCACGTAGATGTATGATTTAAAAAAAATAAACTATGTGCCAGAGACGCAATCATTCCACATTGACGAGTAATAAAAGACTTGTAACTAAGATGTGGGCGGCAGGACTTGTTAAAAGTAAAAGGTTGAAGATTATTCAGCAGTTCTTCCACTATGACAAATTGACAAAAATCGATATGTTTGGCCAGGGGTTTCCATCGGAGGCATAGTAGGAAGTAGAGCGAGGGCACGGTTGCCCCAACTGCAAACTGTTCGAAACGCACCAGGAACCACAATTTGGGCTAAAACAGCACTTTGGACCATCAGCTCGCAGAAAAGCACATACACTCAGTGATCGACCCCATGAAACATTAGCCGAAATCGTGGAATGTATTTTAGACTAGGGAAAATTTCGTAGGTGAAGCCGAACTATTGATTGCCGTGCAGCGTAACGCCGGTTTTCGAATGCACTTCTTTTCAGCCGCCTGCAAGAACACCGTACTCGGCAAAAATGACTACTTAGGTGGCATTGTTTTTTTTCATTGATTTTAGAAGTCCTTATAAATTCAGATATGCATACGAGCATGTTTTCTTGTGTTCAGTTTGTAGAAATTCATGCCTTCTTTAAAACCTATGCTCGAAACAATCCTTTTCTGGTTTTGAAAAGTTTTTAATTATGACTTTTCAAGACCGCTAATTAATGTTGCCTATGAATTATATGTAGCCCACATCCGTTGAAAAGTTTTATGAGTCCTTTATGGTTCATTTTTAATTACGTATAGGAATGCGTGGTTTTACTTGCATAAAAAGCATGCAGCTTCTAGATTGCAAACCCTAAAAGCAAATAGTGTGGAAGATTGGGCTCAAAATCAGTCAGCAGTTGATAAAATTTTTACAATTACAAGCGCAAAAGAATGGGTGATTGACAATCAAGTGAGTGCAAAAAGTACATTCATTTGCATCTTTTCCATAGCATATATTTGCATTTTGAAGTACATAGAAATCAATGAAAAAATTCATGCCACATACGCAGAAATTTTTTTACCAATTGCGGTCATGCGCCGCGTGGCAGGTGTCGCGACGTAGTTTCCCCATGCTTACGGACTACAAAGTTGCCCATTTGTTATTGTTCTTACCTGATCACTTCGTGTCAAGGTTGGTCTGGCAACAACATTTGCTCGGCTCTGATGCAGTCTCACTGCTGGACCAGCGTATCTCTACCACGTGGCCTGTTTAAGGAGCAAGACAGGGGTGCTGGAGGTCTGAGCCTCGCATACTAACTCGAAACACAGACGTACAGTAGATGTGCTAAATCGTGAAATTTTACGCGGAATTCTGAAATGCGTTTTCGACTCGAAAAGATTACTTAAGTAGGGCTGTAATATCAATCACCCCATGATAATTCGGTTAGTTCAGGATGTCCGCTTTTGAAAGAACTTCCTTCCGGCCGCCTCCAAAAACTACACTGCAAAAATGACAAGTTAAGTAGTGTGAATTTTTCTCATTGATTTTCGGCGTCCTTATAAATTCAAATATACTTCATATAGAACATGCATGAAAATATTCCTTCTTTAACTCATTTGGTAGAAAATTGTGTCTCCTTCAAATTTTATGCCTGAAGGAGGGGTATAATTCGGTTAAGGAAAGGTTTTTGACAATGAAATTTTTTAAGACCATGAAATGCTCATTCATAAAACATCGTATCTCTGCATTTACTAATATTGCTTGTAAATTCTACAATAAGGCTCAAATTCACTGTTAACTTTCATGAACCTTATATGGTTTCCTCTTAATACCGTTAAGAAATGTATGATTTTTCGTACACAGAAAATATACAGTTTGTAGTTTAGAAACACTAAACGTAGGTGAAACAGCAGGGGGGGTTCAAAATTATTCGGGAGTTAGAAAACTGTTCAAGACTGAATTGTACCTTTCCTTAAATTATACAATTTGAAGAGGTATATTTCTGCCAAATTAGTAAAAAAATGCACATCGTTATGCATGTTTTTAAACCCCATATGGTCCCCTCTTAATGCCGGAGAGGACTGGATGATTTCCCGTACTCGGAAAATGCGCAGCTCGTAATTTGGAAATCCTGAATGGAAGGGTTCACAATTATTCGGGAATTAGAAAGGTTTTCTAAAACCCAATTATACCCTTCTTTCAGACATAAAATTTGAAGTAGACGCGATTTTCTACAAAATTATTTACAGAATGAATATTTTCATGCATGTTTTCTACGAAATATATTTGAATTTATAGGGACGCCGAAAAGTAGTTGGAAAAATTCATGCTACGTAGGTGGTCATTTTTACAGTGTAGTTTTCTCAGGTGGTCGGAAAGAGGTTCAGTCAAAAGACGACATCATGAACTAATTGAATTATCTAGCCTCAGTGCTGGACCAGCGTATCTCTACCTCGTGGTCTGTTTTGGGGGCGGATAAATAACAAAAGGAACCGGCAGCAAGACAGGAAAAGGGATGCTGGAGGCCCGAACCCCGGACACTAACGTCATACCCAGACGTACAGTAGATGTGCTAACTAATGACAATTTACCCGAAATTCTGAAATGCATTTTCGACTCGACAAGATGGTCAGATGTGGTTATGTAGCCGCACCTGAGGTAAACAAGCCCCAACCACCTGTGGTATGGGGATAGGGCTTTTTACAGGTGCGGCACAGGCGATGAGGTCAGGTAAGTGTATGCAAAAGAAGAACTATTGGAAACGCACGGTTGTACTTTGAGTGGTTGAGAAATAGCTGCCCCAACATTAACCATAGCTCTAGCCCCTAACCTCAACTCCTAATTCTAACACCCAACCCTAACCCTTAACCGCAGCCCTAAACCCTAACCCTGCAAAATTCAACGCAAATGTTAGAAGGAGACGACAGGTCGAAAGTCAAGAAGGACCACCGGCACTGGGCCGAAAACGTAGACACGCCAACAAAGAAACAAGGCCGCCAGCAGCTCACCCACCGCAACGCTCAGTAATACCATGCCAACGTTATCACACCAACTCAAAACAGTTAAATAGGTCAGAAGTATTGCGTCCATCAGGTGCGGCTACGTAGCCACATCTTAGCGAAAAGATTACTTACAGTAGATGTGCTAGCTCACGAAATGTTTACCGAAATCCTGAAATGCGTTTTCGACTCGAAAGGATTACATAAGTGGGGTTGCAAAAGCAATCCCCGTGCAGCATAATCTCATGACAAATCAGCTACCTCGGGATGCCCGCTTTTGAACGAACTTCGTTCCAGCTGTCCGCAAAAGCTATATTTTGTAAAAAGGGCTACTTAATTAACATAACCTTTTCTCACTGATTTTCGATGCTCTTATAAATTCAAACCTATTTCATAGAAAACGTGCATAAAAATGTTCATTCTTTTACTCATTTGGCGGAAAATTACGTCTTCTTAAAATTTTATACTTGAAGGAAGTGTATAATTTGGTTTTAAAAAACTTCTCCAATTCCCGAATAAATTAGAATCCGACCGGCTGCTACAAAACTTTCATTTAGGGTTTCAACACTACAAGTTATATATTTTTCATGTACGAAAAACCATCCATTTGTCTACAGTATTAAGAATAGACCGTATGGGGTTCAGAAAATTTTGCAGTGAATTTGAGCCATATTGTAAACTTTATAAGTAACATTAGTAAATGCAGATACACGAGGTTTTATGGACGGGCATTTCACGGTCTTGGAAAATCTCATAGTTAGAAACTTTAAAGTCGAATTATACCCTTCCTTCAAGTACGCAATTTAGAGAAGACGTAAAAGGATAAATATGTTTACGCATGTTTCCTGTGAAATTTATTTGAGTTTATAAGGGCACCGAAAATCAATTTTAAAAATTCATGCTACCGAGGTAGTCATTTTTGCAGCTTAGTTTTTTTCAAGTGGCCGGAAAGATATTCATCCGAAAGCCGGCATCTTGAATTAACTGAGTTATAATAGGATTACGCTGCATGGTGATGAATATTAAAACCCTACTTACAGAAGGTGGGCTTACTCATGAAATGTCAAACTGAATTCCGAAATGCGTTTTCGTTTCGAAAAAACTTATTAAGTAGGATTGTGAAACTAATCCTCATGCATAATAATTCTATAATAATTCAATTACCTTAGAATGCCAGCTTTCGAGTAAACTTCTGTCCTGCTGCATGCCGACACATTACTCTGTAAAACGGGAACTACTTAAGTAGCATGCATTTTTTCCATTGATTTTCGATGCCCCTAAAAATTCCGTTTTATGTTGTGGTAAGCATGCATGAAAGGTATTCATTCTTTTGCTGATTCGGTAGAAAATCGCGTCTTCCTCTAATTTTATACTTAAAGGGATGGCATTATTCAGTTTTCAAAAAGTTTCCAATTGTGAGACTTTTAAATACCGTGAAATGGTCGTTCATAAAACGTCATGTCTCTGCATTTACCAATGTGGCTTATAAAGTTAAAAGTATGGCTAAAATATAATGCTAAATTTAATGAACCCCATATAATCTCCTCTCAATAGCATAGAGAAACGTATGGTTTCCTGTAGGTTGGAAACCCTGAACGCAGGTGTAACGGCAGATCGGATTCAAAATTATTCAGGTTTTATAAAAGTTTTTTGAATGCCGAGTAAAATGCGTCCTTCGAGTATAAAATTGGAAGAAAACGTAATTTTCTACCGAAGGAGCAATAGAATGAATATTTGTATTCATGATTTCCGTGAAATATAATTGGACTTTTAGGGGTCGTTGGAAATCAACGAGAAAAATGCATGCTAATTAAATAATCCTTTTTTACAGAGTGTGGTTTTTGCATGAAACCGGAAGGAACTTCGTTCGAAAGTCAGCATCCTGAGGTAACTGAATTATTATAGAATTACACTTCAGACTGATTAATTTTACAACCCTACTTAATTAATCTTTTTCGAAACGAAAACACAGTTCGGAATTTCGGTTGACATTTCATGAGTTAGGCCACCTACTGCAATTAATATTTTCGAGTCGAAAACGCATTTCAGAATTTCGGTTGGTTCACGAGTTAGTAAATCTATTGTATTGACACAACTTTCGTTCCGCGGTGGTGTGCCACGCCCACGCGTTCAGCCATCGCACCAGGAGATCAGGGTGAACGACTCCAGTCCCAGTCAGGGGAACACGATCGCCGCCCTCCCCATTCGCTCCCCCCTTGACAGACCCCATAACTGTTCACTTGTTATTGTTCTTTCCCCTAGTCCTCGAGGTTGGTCTCCCCCGTATGGGTCTGAAATCTCGTTTGAGCACAAGTGTTGCCACCCCGCGATCGCGTGTTCTTCTTGTTTAGCGTGAAGAAGATTGACAAACATTCCCTCTCCTACCTTAGACGCCGACTGAACTGGTGTGAGCGCACACGTGAAAATCAAGTAGGACTTGCTATTGGAAAAAAACTGACTAGGCCTGCTGACGTTTGCTACAAACCTATTCACGAAAACAGGTGTGACTTCGTAAACAAGGGTGCATTTGGGGCACGTGCTCACTGTAAGCAGCAGGGGAAGGTGGCTAGGAAGAAAACCCCCATACACCTCATCAGCCAGCCCCCATTCCTGGTTACCTGGCTTCCAAGTACGCACCTCAATCCGCTGTCTGCAGTGGCGGCTTCCGGCTAAATCAAGCATTCAGTTTAGTTGAGACAGAGTAGAAACATGTCGCAAATTAGCCTGCTCATTACAACCATCATTATGATTAGTGCGGGCGTTGACAGAGAATGACGCACTTCTGATGTGTAATTACTGGAGATGTAATTACCGAATTAAAATACAGTGTACTTGTGCCAAAGCACTCCAATGGAGAACTCTTACTCAGCAGTGCTTGCAGTAGGTGGGCTAACTCATGAAGTGGCAACCGAAATTGCAAAATGTGATTTCGCCTCGAAAAGAGTGATTAAGGAGGGTTGTAAAACTAAGCACTCTGCAGTGTAATTCTATAATAATTCAGTTACCTCAGGATGTCGGCTTCAGAACAAACTTCTTTTCGCCTGAATGAAAAAACTGTACTCTGCAAAAATGACTACTTGTGTTGCATGCATTTTTCTCGTTGATTTTCGATGCCCTTAAAAGTCTAATTATATTTCATGGGAAAATGCATAAAAATATTCATTCTTTTACTCATTTGGTGAAATATTACGTCTTCTTCCAAATTTATACTCGAAGGAAGGGAAAAATTCGGTTTTAAAAAAATTTTCAATTCCCGAATAATTTTGAACCCGATCTGCCGTTACACTTTCATTCAGGGTTTTCAAACTACGAGCCGTATATTTTCCGCGTACGGAAAACAATACATTTATCTATAGTATTAAAAGGGGCCATATGGGGTTTATAAAATTTAGTATTCGATTTGAGCCAAATTGTTAACTTTACAAGTCACATTGGTAAATGCAGAGACATGACTTTTTATGGACGTCTGTCCATTTCACGGTATTAAAAGTCTCACAATTAGAAACTTTTTAAAACCAAATTATACTCTTTTTCGGGGATAAAATTGGAAGTAAACGTCATTTTCTACCGGATGAGAAAAAGAATGAATATTTTTATGCATGTTTTCCATGTAATTTAATTGAATTTTTAAGGGCATCGAAAATCAACGGGAAAAATGCATGCTACTTAATTAATCATTTTTTACAGAACGTAGTCTTTTGCATGAAGCTGGAAAGAGGTTCTTTCTGAAGCCGGCATCCTGAGGCAACTGAATTATGACAGAAATATGCTGCAGGCTGATTAGTTTTAGAAACGCATTTAATTAATCTTTTCGAGACGAAAACGCATTTCGGAATTTCGGTTGACTTTTCATGAGTTGGCGCACCCCCTGTACAGTAAGTTCGAAACCAGCCTTTGAGTGGCAGCGCGGCTGAGTGTTCCTTTACTTCCTGTCGCAGCCTTGACGCACATAGAGCATCTTGGGTGCTTTAATTGGTAACCCATAAGCTTAGCTCTAATTGGTCGCATTGTTGGGCATCTCGCTCGCAAACAACCAAAAATGTCAGGTAGGACCTAACACTAACTTAGTAGGCTGCCCTACTGATGTAAATGAACGATCAGTAACTGAACGAACACCAGCCATCGCCTGCTCTGCTCACTGCATTTTTTAAAGAAAATATCGAACTTGGAAGTGTGGGTGGCAATTAAGGTGTGATGATTCTGAAACTGTGGCATGCTACAAAATTTCACAGGATAGGACCTGCTGAGAGTACGACTGGAGGCAGTGAGAACAGCGAGTACCAGAGCAATGCGAAGGCAAGGAAGTGTTTCAATTTTCTGCACAAACCTGACCTATCCTCCTCCCTGCGCTGTTGTCTCCCAGGGTAAAGCTGAAGATTTGACTCAGAAATTAGCTTCGTATCGCGATACACTTCACTCATCATTGCCGATTTCACATTGTTTTCACTCAGACAAACACCATGTGATGACGGTGTCACCAAATCCTGCTTTCTTGCAAACTCGTATTTGCAAAAAACTACTTAAACGTATGCTGCTACTTCCTTTGCGGAAAATGATCGTTTTTAAGCCTTGTTAACTTCTACGCAGCGGCATTTAAGTCATTTGGATAGCGTAAACAGTCATGGAATCGGGTCCAAGTGTCCCGTTTAACCGTAATCCTCTATATTTAATTAGAATGCCTGCAAAGGCCATAGGTTGCGGGAGTACTGTTTGAACCCAACACTGCACGCTAACGATTGTGACTTGAAAGCCTACCAACTGACGGAATAACTCGGTGCTTGTCAGAAATGAGCAAAAAGCTGCAACTGGGTTTTTATAATGTTGCCTTTGTGATACCCTCAAGCGTGTGAGATCTAGCCCGCCCTTTCGGAATCCTTGTACAGTGCGTGACAAATATCATTAAATGTTAGCTGAAATTCTGAAATGCGTTTTCAACTAGGAAGAATTAAAAAGGTTGCGTTGTAATATTAGGTATCATGTAGCACAATTTCGTAGTATTTCAGACTCGCCTAGATGTAGGCTTTTGAATGCACTCCTTTCTGACCTCCGGCAGAAATCGTATTTGGTAAAAAATAACTACTTAAGTAGTGTGCATTTTACACATTGATTTTCGATGTTCTTATAAATTCAAATATGTTTTATAGAATGCTTTTGCTTTCTTTTGCTTGTTTGGGAGAAAACCACACTGCCTTTATATTTTATGCCCCAAGAGAGGTGATCTTTTGGTTTTAAAAAAGTTCCTAATTATGCCATGGGGACCAGGTCGTCTGGGAGATGCGTACATGGATTGTATAGATTTATCAGCCATTTCACCTGACCCCACCTCTGATACCGCCTTGCCAGTAGAACCAGATAACATGGGTAAAAAGAGAGAGTGCGGTAGTTGCTTCGCAAGCCTGTCTCAGTATAACCTAATTTCCACGCAGGTGACTGTCCTATGCGCATTCTGCGAGGCGCGCAGTGGACGTCGACGTGCACGACGGCCGAACTTATGCTTAGTTTTTCAACTAGACCACAGTCAACTCCGCGGGATGACGAAAGATGTTCCGAGTGAGTTTCATGAGAGATAACTCGCATCCTGTTGATATTGGCCCATCGGCGATTCGAAAGAATCAATCGATGCATACAGAAGAGGATCGATCACGTATGCCCTGTTGCCAACAGCGATTGGGCAGAGGAGAAGTCATGCGCCGCTGTGCGGCTACTGGCTGGGCTCGAGGGAGAGCCCGTAAGGTACAATGGAACGAGTGAGTTCAGTAAGAGCGATCGGTGAGTGCCCCCTACCACTGTATATTGCCGATCGAAACCGACAGGGCAACGGGCTCGTGGCCCAGCGGTTAGAGGCGTGGACTTCTAACTAAAAGGTCGCGAGTTCGAGCCGTGGGTGTTCAACACTGCGGGGTTGGGTATGACTGGCTTACGACGGCTAGTAAGCCAGAAATGGCCATTCCAGTCTCCCTGGTCTTTGTCGATGATACCATTCTGCCTATATCATGCGCCGCCGTGCGGCTGCTGGTTGGGCTAGGGAGAGAGCCCGTAAGGCACAACGGAACGAGTGAGTTCCGTAAGAACGATCGGTGAGCGCCCCCTACCAAGTCAAGTAGTGTTGAAGGCCGTCAGGCAGCACTTTGCTTTCCCAGCATTTGATTTTAGATCAAATTTTACGGAGGCAACCACCGTGTGGCCAAGACCAAATCGTGATTCATCGAAGGCGGACGTTGTCTTTGGGTAGAGGTGCTGGCCGTTGTTGCAGTTTTCAGATGCGGGTGTGAGTCATTCAGATGTTCTGTGCGTAACCAATCACCTCAGAATATCGCCGTAGTAATGCCAGAAGCCTTTACTCATCGGAAAACTGAGCTATCAAGCAGTGCTTGTCGCCCAAGTAGCATGTTGAAATCGCTGAGCGGGACTGATATTCTACTTTGGTTCCTAGCGCGTTGAGATTGCGCATGGCTTGCTTCCGTCAATTCTAACGGAATAACGTACAAAAGGCCGGATGCTAGTGGTCAAACCCTTCTTACCTTGCTGCCCTATTGCTAGTACATTCAGAATGCATCTTGGTGCAGTATACGGTTACGCCGACAGCAACAAATCGAAGAACTTCTTCGCTGTGATCAAGGCGATCTGCAGCTCCCCTACCAATGGAACTGCGTCGTTTTTCAGCTACGATGGATCAACGCGTCTGACGGAGAGCTCGCAGATTCTGATGTGCTGGGTCGAGCACTTTAGAAGCGCGTCATCAACAGTCCCGCCACAATTTCCGACGCCACCATCGACTGGCTCCCCCAAGTGGAAATCAACGTCAATCTGTTTCTCCCGTCCTCCCTCCCTCCCTCCCTCCCTCCCAAAAACCATCCAGAGGGAAGGCCCTAGGCTCCGATGCAACCCCAGCCGAAATTTACAAGCACGGCAGTAGCCGACTGATGGACCAATTCACGACGCTATTTCAGGAGATGTGGCGCTGTGAACATGTTCCTTGGAATTTCAAGGACGCAACCATTGTTCATCTCTACAAGCGCATTGGTGACCGGCAAGTCTGTGACAATCAGAGAGGCATCCCGCTACCCAACATCTCTGGAAAGATCTTCACCCGCATCAGAGGATATGTCGAGCGAGGCCTTCTGCCGGATAGCCAATGTGGCTTCCGGCGACAATGGAGCACCACCGACATGGTGTTTGCCGCTCGCCAGCTAGAGAAGAAGTGCCAGGAGATGCTTATCTCGGAGGCATATTTTCCAGCAGCACCAGGATCGACGACGAAGTGACCCATCGGATGTCCAAAGCCAGCCAAAGCTTCGGCCGGCTAAAGAACTCCGTGCAAAATCGCCACGGCCTCCAACTGAATACAAAGCTGAAGATGTACAAGGCCGTCGTCCTGACGGAGCGGAAACCAGGACCGTCTACTCCAACCATACCAAGAAACTCAACCACTTCCATATCTGCTGCCCTCACAGAATACAAATGTTGAGATGGAGAGACAGGATCCCCGACACAGAAGTCCTAGAATTAAACAGAATCCTCAGCATTCCCTCCATGTCAAGGCAATTGCAGCTACGTTAAACGCCGTTTTCGTGAGGATAGAAGACACATGCATGTTGAAGCATCTCCTCTTTGGTACGAGTTGACAAGGGGAAAAAAAACGGCGCTACGATGACACTTTTAAGGGCTCTCTGAAACTGCTGAAGATCAATCCGGGGACCTGGGAGGACCTCGCTAAGAACATACCGGCATGGCGACGAGAAGTAAAGACCGGTGCCGCCATCTACGAAGCAAATCGGATCCCCGCCGCCAAAGTCAAAAGGGAGGCTCGCAAGTCGCAAGTGCCTCGTCTTCTCAATGCCAATTATCAACCACTTCAAACATTTCCGCGCTGCCAACGCGGATCCCGCTCGCGAATTCATCTTATGGAACACCGTTGGACACAACAGCCCGACAAAGTCTACGTCTTCTCCCACTCTCGCCCCTATCGTAAACCCCGCGGCGATTGTCATCCCCGTCGCCACCGACCACACCGTCGTTGCACCCCCGCCATCAACCACCGACGCCACTGCCCCCACACCAACCCCTGCGTCCACCACAGCGACCACCACCACCACCACCGCCACCACCACCACCACCCCCACCACCACAACCACCATCACCGCCACCGCCGCCGCCACCACCAGCACGCATTCGCCTCACCAATAGAACGACGTCCGACATCCCATCACTATCAACACCCCCACCTCCAGCGATGGGAACTCGGTTCATGCCTATCCTCGCTGCGATCGCACATTTATCCCACACATCGGCCTGGTGGGTCACTTGCGAATCCATCGCACAAAGACTGACTAACTAGTGGCTGTGGCACCGACCTACACTCGACGGATCCGCCTCCATTGTCCACACTGACCCCGCACATTCACTCGCTGCATGGGCCTACTAGGTGACATGCGTGTTCACGACAGCGGAATTCACCTGTCGTGGAGTTGACTTACTATGCGAGTGAGTCGTTCGGGACAGCCAAATTTCTGCATGATTTTCCACAGTCCCTTGCGAGTTTACCGTATTCAAGTCTTTCATCAAATCCACGGATGGTGGTGTAAAGGTGGGTACGCATCTCCTGGTACTTTTCCTGTAACTGGCGAGCGGCAAACACCATGCCGGTGGTGTCCCAGTGTCACCGCACTATCGACACACCTAGTACACCAACCATGCCTAGCTCAATTCACACCCCGCCGCCCAGCGCGGTCACTGCCAGCAGCTTCATCACCGTCACTATCACCGAAATAGACTCTGACCCTCCCGCTCTATCCTGACCACACTGTCCCCCGTACATTCACCTCACCCGTCGGCCTGGTAGATCACTTGCGAATCCATCGGACAGAGACTGGTGAACCCGTGTCCGGAGCACTAACATACGCTCGCCACATCCTCCCCAAGCGCTCCCATCGGCCCCGCACATTCAAACATTCAATGGACCTATTAGGCCACATGTCCAGTCATGAAAACCTGATGTAGACATCCACCGGCTACACCCCACCATCACAACACAACACAAAGACTCAATTTCCCACCTCTCCATGCGGCTCCTCTGTTGCACGTGGAATCGGAGTGTGAGACTATCACGGTCGCCAAGCGCCGTGGCTTGGATGGCTACCAACTGACTCCTCAACTCAGTCCATGCAGTCAGCCCAGTTGTGTTTGTTTGTGTGGAGTGGCGAATTGGTGGGCCGAGAGCCAGGCTATCACGGTTTCCCCTTACCGTGACCTCTGGCAATCTTATGCATGTGGAGAATGTGTGTGTGTGTTTCATGGGAAGTGTCTCTCAGTCGACGGCTGTTGGCTCAGGTTTAGTGCAGGGCTGTGGGTCCCCATGCTGTGCATTAAGGTGTGATTCAGCAAATCGTGGCTCTCGCAGCTGGCAGTTCTCTGGGGCTTGGTTCCCTGCCGGTAGATGCAGTTGTGCTCCCGCATGTATGCAGGTCGAGTGCTTGGTTGCCTAGTCATCCTCCTCTTTCAAGCTCGCCTTCGTGTTATTGTTAGTTAAAATTCTGGTCGAGTGGTTGTTGTGGGCCAGGGGGGCGTGGTGGTACGCCTAAGCGCGGATCCGGCTGTTCCAGCCTCCGGTCTACTTGGCACCGGGCCCCCGAGGGGGGAAGGGGGTTGTGCGGTAGTTGTTACGCAAGCCAACTCTCACTATAAACTAATTCACGCGTCAGTCACCGTGCCCGCTTCACGTTGCTGTGGAGCACACGGTAGACATCGGCAGTTGCGACGACCGAACTGTCAGATTCAATATCATGTTAATGTAGCATTATTACTTACGAGAGCTGACATATCCTCATGTTGTAGAGGACAAGCATTCTAAATGGATTCAAGTAAGGGGAAGGCTGTATTGGCCCCGACCACCCAGTCCACCAAAAAAACAATCTCATGAAATTTAATCTCGACCCATTGTGGTTACCTACAGTACGTAAGGTGAGCAATAAAAGAGGTAAAAAGAATGCCCTCACAGAACAACACTTACTTGTCAATATTGTGAAGGACTGGACATTCCACCGCGAAAGTATTGCTGCTCAACTGAACGTACTCGCTAGACTCACTTTGAAACATCACCGATCGGTAATCTTCACCGCCGATGTTTCCTTGAATACTTGATGAATTTATCAGCAGTCTTTTGAATTCAACCATAAAGGCGCCGTAACTGGTGACGGTATTGCAAATTTCTACCGGTGGATTAAAGTACTCGTAGAAGGCCGTATCAGTCCTCGCTCGAGATGCGATTTTGTTGTCAACTGGAGGCTGTTGTATGTCCTCGATCGGCTGACCATTCTCCTCGACCCTGGGAACCTGTTTGACCGAACTGACAGCGGCAGGACCCCAGAAGAATTTAGTCACGAGGATGTTGAGCGCAAGGAACAACAGTAGAAGGCATAACCACGTTCCCAAACGAAAGAGCAGCTTTCTATGCATACAGCGCAGGATACTGCAAGGCAGAGTTTGAAACGCACTGAGATAGCCCATGGGGAGGGGGCGGGATCTAACGACGAACGAATGGCATTTCGAGTGAGAAAAAAGCCGGTAATTGTTCCTTACGAGGTTAATAATGAAAACGCTTACTGGTTGATTGTCGGTGGCAGTCTGCGGTCGAACTCACTCACTCATTCTCTCCTTTGATGCGCTGAAATCTGCAAAATCAGTCAGCCTTCAATCCCATCCATGAGGCATCGTTGTGTCAATGGTTTCGACCTCCATCTCGCCGATTTAACATAGAATCATTCATAGTTTCAAACTTGCTGACGAAATGGTTGAGAAATTAGAAATTGCATATTTAACTGGATCCCAGGCAGCCTCAGCTGGACGAAAGAAGGCCGCATGTTGCGCCAAAAATGACGTTAAAAACACATGCAACCCTGTGCCTTCTCAATGACCACTCCGCATAAAAACTTGTCAACATACGTTTGCAAGATATGGCCCAAAAACTGGAAGCAATGTCCTACGGTTTCCTTAATAAAAAGTTGCCTTTAGTTGGCAGCCGCAAAAACTGAAAGTGGACTAAATGAGCATCTTGCAGTGAACTGCACGCGTGGTAGTCGGCTGTTTTATTGGCTTACTAGGCGAAAGACCACTTTTGAAAGAGTGCCCCAACGCAGCATGCCAATGACCGCGTCCTATGCTTAGAGATGAGCTTAGCGTAAAAGAGAGACAGTAAGCCCGTCAAAAAAGATGGAAATGCAAATGCGGGAACTATTTCAGAAGCCAATTATAACTAAGTGGCATGACTTAATAATCGGCATCAACAGATGTAAAGATGTATAGCATCTGCTGCAATTCGGAAGATCAAATATATGCTACAAACATACTCGAACGGAGTTACGCGACTGCACCTGGAGGTTAACAAGACCACGGTTCCAGAGCATTTGTTCGTGACGAGGAGGACATTGTTCTGGTGCAATTTACGAGATAGCTAGTCCGTTATATGTGATGCGGCCCCACACTCACTGAGCGGGCACAGCGTTAACATGCGCGTAATTTTTTTATACTGAGGTAGACTTGCGTCCGGTTGTCTCAGTCTCTCTGCTAGCGACAAGGTAAGGCCACATCTTAACTCCTAATCAACCAGTCTTCGGAGAGAGGTTATTGGATCTCTCGTCAAACAGAGTTTACACGAAGGTCATGTCAAGGGGTCGTTACAATAAAGGCCTGGCTGTTCTGTCAGCATAAATTCACGACCACTGATGTGCCGCTACAGCTTCAAAGCGCATTTGATTGCTTATCTTCAGGGAGGTTAATCATTGAAACGGCAACCCTTCCTTACACACAGACATGTAAGTTGTTTGCTCGAGTCAAGCCGGCTTAATATGAAATTGTAGACAGCGTAGGACGTAACCTAGAGTCACTGCCTAATGCGTGTCAAACGCATGCACCACAATAGTAATGCGGACTCAATATAGTACGAATAATACATGGTGCCTGTTAGTGGCGAGGCTTGATTCCGTTTTGTTTCACAACGACCAAAGCGGCTCTGAATCAAATTTGCCTATCTAGTGATAGGATGACCTTGCACGATCTTGTTCCTGCCCGGGCCCGATGGATAGACGAAGTTCGTCTGTAATTCTCGAAGATAATTTCTAAATCGATATGAAATTACCAAAATGTAAGCATACTTTATTTGTACCACGGGAAAATTGCACACATCAAACTAAAAAGAGGTATCGGTTATAGAAGTAAGTATGCGTAGTAGATAAATGGGTATTTTGCTTGAGGGTTAAAAATCGGTTACGGTTGACGACAGTAGTTGGAAAACGACATCGGCTTGCTCGCCCTTCCTACAATACGTAGCAGTCGGTTTTTCTTGGCTCTTTGATACGACACTCTGAGCTTGTAATTTAAAGCTAGGTACTTAACAGATCTTATGATGAAAATAGGTTACTGGTCACTACCAAGTTCAGGCTGGCGTTGCAATTTATGCAGACCAAATGCTGAGGCAGTCAGAACCAGTAATTAAGGTTGAATCGATAATGTAACTGGATAAGCGTCGAGAGTTTACTGGCGTCAACATAGTTTATTAATGAATGACGATAATAAAAGACTGGTAAAAAGCTAGTAATGAAGGAGGGGTAAATTAAGCCGGTTGTGTGATATAAATAGAAATTAACATCTCCGTCATAGCTTTTGCTGAATCTTCGAACTTTACCGTACTACTTACACTGCAGCGTCCTCCGTATGAATATTCATATTGTCACATATGTCACAATGTGAGAGAAAAACTCCTCTTCTGAATGGTTAACGCTTATTTTTTTTGCAATTCGCTAACAAAACAATTTATGTACATAAATATACGTGTTGTACTTGGCATTGTTAATAAAGTTATTCCATATAAGAAGTCTGCAACCTTTTCACATTGTTTTTGATTAAGCTTCAGCCAAACAAAAATTATATTTCTAACATTTACTGGCTAAACGCATACCACCGTTTGCAAATGTGATGTTTTGACATAGACGGTCGCTCGTACACCGATTTTTTTAAACGAATACAAAGAAATGGTCCTGCTCAACTCCTCGTGCGCTTCCGGTTCGAATTAAAATTAAACGAATCTTAAACTCGGAAAAGTTTCCGGAATGTGAACGTTAGGTTTTTTTAAAAATTAATTCGCTACGTTGATGAGATTTCTGTTAGCCGAGTAAAATACCGTGCTCAAGAATAAAAATCATACCTGCCACAAGTATTTATGCAGCCTGTTAGGGCCGACACCAAATGCTGCGAATTTGTTTTACCTCCTTTTTCATTTACCGCTTTATATTGATCTCAAGGTGAAGGTCGACTTAAGTGAGCTTAAGGCCTTTGTAATCTGTTGGAAACGAAATGGGTTAAAGGAATAATTCATTTTCGAATAGGCTGGATGCTTAGCCTTATCGTTTTATCAGCATTTCGTATTTATATCAAATTTAGGTTAAAATCTGGTTTTGGTTTTTGTGACCTGTTGTCGTCAACAAGTAAACCAACGTGTATGAACTAAGTTTGAGGAAGAAACAGCCATCTACCTGATACAAATATTGATTTGTCGTTACCTTTTAGCATTCGCTTCTAGGGAAAGTGCGGCTTTGTTGTCTGTTGAATACTGTGAATAATTGGATTCGTAATTTCCAATTCGACTACCTTCTCCACATCCAGAAGTGGTCAGTTCTCATTGACATTTCTCAGAGAGTTGTGCAGGACACGGTACTGATCATCAAATATTTACCGTCAGATTTTTAATCTGCACACGAAATCGCGCACTTTTCTAAGAAGACTTAGTTATGGTCTGTCCTTCGACTATCTAATTTGAGCTAATGATAAGTGTATAAAAAACCCGAATTTTGGGGAAAGTCTCACACTTAGAATAAGGGTTGCCTCTAACTACTATCCCAAGAGTTGAGATAATTCCTGGGGCTTGCACTCCCATGGATACAAAAACTATCGTGTTTGACAAATTGGTACCGATGACGTTTAACAAAATTTTCCTATTTTCCAGGTCCTCATAAAACCTCGCCGATCAGAACTTTCCTGTTTACTTTGCAAATTTAACTTGCCACATCTGGAATATCGGCTAGCAGTGTGGTACCATACCTCCTCTAATAAACTGAAGCCTAAACAGTTTGGTGGTAGGCAATAGGAGTTGTTTGTTCACCTTAAAACCTGTCATTCCAAACGCATGACAAAATCGTGCCTCCCTGCCCATTAGCATTGCGGGTTATCTGCAGATCTCAGTGAAACCGACAAAGGGAAATGCCAGCTGATAGAACTAATGGAGACAATGACCGTTTCTTCAAATGTGACCAGACACTTCCTTTCCATATGTATCCCCCCACCTCCCACCCCAACCATCGGTAAAGGATGTGGATTCGCTAAATACCCAGACAGGCGCTCGTTAATCATACTCGACAGGAACAGACAACGAATTTGGAAATTCTTAGTGGCAGTTTTATGTGGTTTGGACAAAGTTGGGCATTACAACTATGCAAGCGCACAGCACTCAAGGATCGGCGCGGTTCTGCGTGAGTGTAAAATAGAATTTTGTTCAACGATTAGGATTAGCCTACTCGATGTCACCAGTTGCTCGGGAAGTGAAATACGTGGCTTTACATCCTCCGTATAGACCGATGTCTCAATGAATTCTTTCATTTCATAAAGAACAGATTCTCTTCATTTCAATGTTTCGGCTTCTGCGCTGCAACTCTTCTTATTCATGTTTTCTGGTTTTGCTAGTTTTCTGGCTGCCGGTTGTTCTTTCAGTGTGAATTTATCTGACGCATCTTCATGGCTACGCAGCAATTTCCAATTTGCTGTGCGTAGCTTTTTTTTGCTACATTCTACCGTTCACTCGCACAATTGTCTGCATCTTGTCATTTGCTGTTTCCTCCATTTCAGCAAAGTAAATGCTGAGATTTGCATCGAGTCTTTTAGCTACATGCCTATGCCAGTTTTCTGTTCGATGAGACCGTTTATTATTGAAAGGCGACATTTTAGAGGTCACCTAGCAAATGTTGGTGTAGGAGGACGTCTCGAAGTTAACTATTTTCACTTTTTTCGGCTTTTTCCAATTTCAGGGGCTATCGGCCTTTCCAAAGGCCCTCTGTTATTCAAGGCTGCCGCAGACTCGTGGTTTTTGCACCCACCCCTTTATGTATGTCTATGACGGCGACTTGTCATTCGCTAGGCAGAGTGCTGCCAAGCGCAAAGAATTATGACGTGGAGTCAGACCACCTTCCAAAGTTTGGAATAATCGTCTGCACAGGAAAATAAGCTAATGGATATTCCCACGCTTGCTACTCAGTTCGAACGCCGATCCGAGGTTGTTCATCTTCTCTCTAAATATTGTGAACTGATCACCTGTTTAACTTCCAACTTTCTACTTCCCAATGTGTTGGCATTTAAGTTTGACCGACTTCTAGAGAGGATCCTTTCCTAACTGCGTTTGTAGTATATATTTCTTGATCGGCTTCCTGCATTTTCACAAATTCCCAGTTGGCGGACGGCTAACCCGTTTAAGGCATTTGAGGGAGTAGAGTTTGGGTTGGGTGATGCTACTCTTTAGCGGTCTTCATGGCCCATTTGATAATTTGTACAAGCATTGTTGTCTGGCATAAAATTTGAAAGATAACTTGCAGCTTCCAATAAACGTCTTCATCTCTTCCTCTTCTTCTTCTTGTCATGATATGCTAATCCAACAAGACTCGCCACTAGAAAGTGTCCTATGGATCGTGACCGAACATGTGCAGTATCTGTCCAAAGGCAGGAGATTTAATACTTTTCAGACTGGAAATTTTCAATCTTTTTTCCTCAAACACCGTTTTTTTTGGGGGGGGGAGGGCTAACTCTCTTTATACTTCATTTCTGATCACCATTTCGCTGGTTGACTGGAATAAAAATAATTTTTTATTAAAGTCCCGTCGGGGTCCCATCAAAGCAAGTAAAAATAAATTTACATGCAAATTTTAGGTGAGGTAGGCAGAATCTGTACAAAATGAAATTCATAGTTTCTGAATCAGTAGTCCGTTGAGAAAATTGACTAGCGAGAGATGAAAAAAACCACTGAAAAATTTAAAAATGACTGGCTTAATTTTACAGGAGAACAAAACCCTCGATAAAAAGTAATAACAGAAAAATGCGGGCAGGACTGGCCTGTATGTGGTGGTATATAACGGATTATAATCGGACATTATCAGGGCAGAAATAAATGTCAGTCTGGATTCTAATCGGACATCGTCAGGGCAGAAATAAATGTCAGCCTTGAAGGGTACGTATGAGGGTCGGGCAGGACTGGTCAGCATGTGGTATTGTATACGGGATTCAGAACGGACAGCGTCAGGGCAGAATTGATACGCCGGATGAGATTATTCGCGTCAAAGATGACAGACGAGAGGAACCCAGACGCGATTGGCCACAGTACGTTTCGAGCACAGCCGAGGAGTGTGGAAGGAGTTTATTTCAGTTTATTTGGTAAGGATAATAGGCAAAGCCTTTGAAAACCCTACTACTAGTAGACGGCGAATACTGAGGATTCCGCCGTGAGCATCGACAGACCGCATGGGGTCGAAGTGCGGGAGATGACATCAAGAACCGCGAAAATCGTCGCTATGTGGGAGGAGTGATAGCAGTAGATTTAGAAACCAATTCAAAACAGGGTTCCCAAAGATATAATTGAGGGCTTCATATGGATCTACCACTAAGTCTTAGGAGGATCCTTCTCGAAGTCAAGAAGCTGGGAGTTCGGAATAAGGCCGTTAAAAGTGCCTTTATACTTTCCGGCGTAAAATATTTGCGTAATTTCGACCTCAATACTGATAACTTAGACGATGAGCTAATTTCAGGTGGAAGATTATTACAAAGGAAGGCATATTTGGAAGCAAAAAAGAGGGAGCTCGTAGATGTACTGCAAAGAGGCGGCGGAATCACCATGAGGGAGTCGCGCGTGGCATAGGACCGATCTCTGAAAGTGAGAGTGTCAATGAGCTGAAGAGTGGAGTTAGAGTTTATGTGAAAAAGGGAGCAAAGACCGACTTCGAGTCTTCTAACCCACAAAAACTTAATGTTCGCCGGCTCACATTTCTGAGTATAAGAAGTACCGGGTGCGACTTGAGAGAACAGTTTCCGGGTGAAAACCCTCTTTACATAATCGATCTCATAACGGACACAGGAGTTCATTATGTCAAAGAAAGGTCAGCAGTATTCGAGGACTGGAAGAACAAACATTTGATAAAGTCTTAATTTCATTTGCCGGAGGAAAAAAATTTTGCGATATGAATCCACGTATCTGCGCAGCTTTGGCAGAGATTCTATCTGTATGTGGTGATAAAGCAAGTTTGTTTGTGTAAGTAAAACCTAGGTCCTCTATGGTGGACCAATCTGAGAGTGGGTTATTCTGAAAAATTATGGGACCAGAAAGACACGAAGCTACACTTGTATGATGAAAACTCCATCTGCCATGTTAGACCCCATCTGCTTAAGCGTAGTTAATCGACAGTAATTTTTTTCAACACAAACGTTTGCGGCGACCTTAGAATATGGGTAAACACACTTGAGGTCATCGGCATAAGTAAAAGTTTTCAAATTTCTGACTTCAGTGGAAATATCATTGATGTAAAGAAGGAAGAGTAGCGGACCCAGAACCGTCCCATAAAGTACGCCACTCGCGATCGAGTGAGGTGTCGAGTAGCTATTACCGACCATGACTTTCTGATATAGGTTGGATAGATAGGACCTGATGAAGTCGAGTAGAGGAGGCCGGATGCCGAGAGCTTCCAATTTTACCAAATGACGTCTATGGGACTCCGTGTGGAAGGCTTTGCTATGATCAAAGTAGATAACTACCACTGACTGCTGGTCATTACGAAGAGAAGTGATTAGATTAAGAAATGCCAATTGGCAAGTTTCGCAGGATCGTTCAGGTACAAATCCATGCCGATTAGTGCTCATAAGCCGATTAGATAGACAAAAGTCCAGAATTCCATTAAAAACAATCTTTTCAAGAAGGTTTGCTAGAGACGGCGTTTTTTGCATGCCCCGATAGTTATTAACATGGGGCCGAGATCCAGACTTGAAGACGGGAATGATAATTGACGTTTGCCTTGTTCCAGGAAAGAAACATTTTGAAATATAAACCGAGAATAAATGACTAAGCAATATGGGAAGGTCGGGAGCTTGTTTAATAATCGAATTTGTAATTCCGTCCGCGAGTTTTTCAAACGACTTATGCGTTTCTTAATGAGATCTGAAGAGACATCGATTGTACTCAGTGTTCTACTTGAAAGTGAACGAAAGAAAGGGACTGGTTCAGACTCAATAATAAGGTCTTTTTCAAAGAAAGCAATAAACAAATCCGCCTCGACAGTGTAATCGATTAGGAAGATTTTGTTATCGTTTAACTGGGCTGGAAGTTCGTGACACGCTTAGAGGAGGACCGATGACGAAGATGCTAGCGACGGATTTGCCAGAGTTCGAAACACTGACGGCAAGTGATTCTCTTGGCCTGTCGCACGCTTGGAGAATCCTTGAGGCCATTTCGAAAATCTTTGTGATTCTAAGATGAACGGATAAGGAACTAGTGGATAGGTCACGCAGTTGGCGTCTTAACTTTTTTAGTGTGTTGTGAGGAAAGAAAGGAACAGGGGAATCTGCAGAATAAGACTTCAGATATCTACGTGGCACAAACTCTAGGATAACCTTTGCAACATTGGGAATGAAGTCACGAAGAATGGTTGCATCGCTACAGGAGAGGAAGCAACACAAATCCAATGATCTAATATAGTTATTTACTAAGTCGTTATCTACGCAATCGTAGTTAATGTAAGTCCAAACGGTGCTGGTCTTTTTTTGAAAAGGCAAACAGTAGGCAACAATGAATTAATACGTGGTCACTGTCAAAGAGGTCCTTTTTGAAAGCAACAAAAAGAGAGGAAATGTCATTGGTAAAGATGAGATCGAAAGTGTGATTTTCTCTTGCTGGAGAGCGCACCAGTTGGGACCAGTTAAAAATATAGACAAGATCTTGGAAGGGCTGGAACCTAGGTGGACAGATATTGAAAACTCAGTCTATTACAGGGAAGATAAAATCCCCAGTGATTATTTTAACATTGAAAGCAGCTTCTGAAATTAATTTAAAGATTTCAAAGTGTTGTGAATCATCATTGGCTGAAGAATTTGGGTTTTTACTTCTCCTGTAAAATTAATTCGATCATTTTTAAATTTTCATGAGGAACTTTTTTCACCCCTCGCTAATCATTTTACTTAACGGACTACTAATTCAAAACCTATGAATTGCACTTTGTACAGATTTTGCCTACCCCGTCTAAAATTCACATGTAAATTTATTTTTACTTGCTTTGATGGAACCCCGACGGGCCTTTAATAAAAAGTATTATTATTATTACTTTAAATACAGTGAATAATTGCCGTTCTTTGCGCAGGGGGAATAACAGATGCAAAGCAGAAGTTTCCCGTGAATGAGGAGATATCCAGGTAATAGAGAGAGTGCCTAAGATAGGATGTAAGATAAAAAAGCTAACCGCCCCCCACGCCTAGTTGTGGGGTTTTGGCGTTAAAAATCGAATTCATCTATAAGAAAAGCAGAGTCAGGAATTAGAGAATGGGTCAAAGTTTATGTTGCGCACGTAATAATTTCGATAGACATTCCATGAATTAACTCACCTACTGTATGCGCATCCACCACAAGGCTCATCAGTGTAGCTCACACTTTTAACGGTTATTACGCCTTTGACACTCTTTGCTGGTCGTTGGCTGGGGGCGCAGATAGAGCGAGCGCAGATTCTGGATGCGAAGGACATCTCACCAGTCTCGTCTTCTAACGAGGTGCGGGCGCCGGTCTTACCATTGCAGTTAGATCTCTGAGACTCCTTAAACTTCGAAATGAGAGAACAGGTATATTTTTGCTTTCGAGGTTATAACAAATACGTCGGGTTGTATATGACGAATCGAAGTGAGCATTAAAAACTCAGTGAGCGAAATTACTTAAAATCTGATAACCTGTATGGTGTTTAATCAGAAACGACTCAGCTGTTTGCAAATCACGTAAGACTTCAATCACTTCCAGCCCTGAAGGGTTTTGAGCGATTGTTTTCCTAAAGTGTAAATAACCGCAAGTTGACTGCATAATCAGTTGAACCGTACTGACAAACAAATTCCACTTGACTCAGTTTCCTGAGGAATTTCGACGAGTGAAAAAAAAGTCCAAAAATGCACAAAGAAATTCTGAAGTGCTGTTCCAATGTCAATAACAGAGACGGTAACTGTGAAGTGGTAACCAAGTCGAAGGAGTCACAATTGCAGCGCAGAATAATTCGTTGTACTCAGTCGAACTTCGTAACGAACAAATGTTTTGTGCAGAAGTGTCACGAAGCGGAATTTTCCTCGAGAGTTTGATTGACAGGGCGCGTTTCCCGTTTTTATAGATTTTTGAAAGGACTTATAACAGGGAGTGATCTAAATAAGACAGAAAACCGGGTTTTCAAAGTTAAAAGCCTAGGGGTTGATAAAAATGTAATCTACAGGGTCGATGACCTGAGTGTTGAAGGAAACAAAGACATCAAAGTCTAAAGACTAATGTGGGCGTAGGTTTTCTCGCTTAAAATCGTCGCATAAAAGAATAAAACGCGTATTACCAAACCCTAGAAAGGGTTTCTTGAAAAACTCACATTGACTTCAACGTGCAGATTGTCTGAGGCACGTATGGATTGCTTGTAGGAGACAAGTCAGTTCACGCTCGTCAACTAACGTGAACCTCAAAAGTCGGCGGATTCTTTTGAACGCTTCTATCTCCCGGACCTGTTTACCTTGGAGATTTTTAACATTTCTACTTAAGAGAGCAAGTGCTGTTTACTTTTATTGTCCTTTTTCGTCACGGCAAACTCTTTTATCTCCTTTATTTACTGCTTCATCTATTTTGTCTGCTTTGGACTATCTCCTCTTTAGTCGCTTTTCCTTATCTTGTTATGCTTTACCCGTACAGCATCCCTGTTTTCAATGTCTTAAATGTTACTTCCGCCTTGTGCACGCTGAATTTCAGTCTTCATACGAAGTTTTTTATACGAAAATTGTGTTATCTTTCTCTGCCATTAATACTTGTGTCCATGTTTTCCAGCCTACCACCATGTACTAAAGGGCTTATCGTGGATTTATAGTAGTTAAGATTTTATCAGAAGAACGAGGGACTACTTATGAGGTTTACTTCTCTTGAATGCTCACGTGTTTTTTACGATTCATTTTGTTACAATTTTATTCACTTCTTTCCTATTCTCGGGGTTTTGGTTGCGAATTGAGAAGTTGGTGCTTATGTCTGTCCGATAGTAGCCGTCACAGCATTTCTGGTCTAAGTGGAAAGGTGGCGTTTTTGGTACATACATTTTTCTTTTAAACGGTCTAGAGGTTGCATACGCAGCGCTCATGTAATGACATACGTAATTTCTATCTAATTAAGAATACCGTCCAATATATGCCACGGACTAGCCAGTGGTTGCTAGACACTCCAACCCATACTTACGAGTTGCGTGTCAGGCGCGACCAAGTGTGTTATCAAGCTGGGCAGTCGTCTGGTGTCTTGTAATGAGACAGCGGAGAACCTTGAACTTTAATATCGACAAGTGCGTTAACTACTCGCACAAAACTGTGTTGCCTCATGATCAGCCGGTAAGATAGTTAGCCACAGACTCACAGCAGAAATAAGTGTCTGCTAATGCGCTGTTATCAAGCCTGAGCTCCAAAACCGGCCAGGAAATTGGAACTGTGCTGTCGCGCAACGATATACGGGTGAATGCAGATACCATCTCGAGATATGCGAACTGCACAGCACTTGTAGTAGGCTCCCCTCATATACCACACATACCATTTAGGAGTAATTACTCCTGCACCCGTGCTTGTCTTTTAAAGAGATCAGCATCCAATTCTGGAACTGATGACTAAAATATCTAGCTGAGTTTAGAGGGCTGGGCTGAGTGCCAGAGGGTCACGACAGTTTCGCGCATGTCATCATTGAGATCACTATCGATTTCTCCGAAACAACGTTAGAAGTAGATCTTAGGACCAGAAATGTGTTCTAGGTCTGCATTTATCGCGTCCAACTATAGCTCAAGTTGTCGGCCTTGACAATGAGCCATCGATGACCTGATTCATATACTTATGAAAGGCCACTTTACTTATACGTTTGTTGTCTCCATTTTCTCAACATTAACTCCCGCCAGCACGATGGGGGTATGAGCAATAGGTGATTGACAAACTACTTATCTGCTAGTCATTTCCGCCACTGGAATGACCCCTGTGGTACCAGTGAATCTCCGGACAGTCAATTTGTAGGCATTATTTCGAATACGGCATTCGGAAGAACCCAAGATATCACCGTTGACGGCTGGCTGTTGGACACCAGCACATTTTTTCAGTACAATTACAAGCACAATTAAGCAAAAATCGTCTCCACAGATTGGGACGACACTGTTGTTACGCGATCATATGGAAGCGCAACAGACCACTACCGTTGCACAAGCCCTTTTGACTTTGTCGTCCTCTTGAGTTGTTTCTGCTTGTGTTACCACTCATGGATAAGAAGTACTCAGTGCAGTTTCGATCTCGGTGATTATATGCAGATCAGGACTTCTTTCGCTGAACCATCAGTCACTCACCATCAGCCCACTCTCGTCATTTTCATGGACTCTGCCTCCGAAATCGACGCTTTGCCTTGGAATTTATTGTAATTGGTCATGCTGTATTGTGAGAAACCATCGAAGTTATTTCGGTTGAATTAAACACACACGAGTACGGAAATAAAATTTTCCCTCGTGTAAGTGACACGGTGAGAGACTTTTCTGCCATTATATGCGACGTCCATCAGGGCTGTGTTCTCTCACCGGCTCCACACGTGCTTTTCAATGCATTGGCAAACCACGCTATTGCCTTAGTAACTCTTGCTCCGTGTATTATGGAATCTTGACTACGTTGGCAAAGTTGTGATCCTTTCCCCTTGGAGAGATGCAGCATACGCGAAAAGGCCTATTCCCGCCACCCTCCTGACAGTATGAATAAAGCATATTTCTATTCGTTCAATTTTATCTCCAAATATCAGTCGTTGTACCCGAAAGTCTCGTCGAAATTCCACCCAGTTACCTTCCTTCTTTTTCACTGAGCCTGTGACCGTGCCATTGATCCTTGTCGGTGCTACGTTGGATAGTGCTGTTTTTATTTTTACAAGGCTAGCTTTAGCCGACTCCGCGCAGTTAATACGACAAAACATGAGAACGTGTACACTGACTTCGTAAAGTACGTTAGTGAACGATTTGACAGCGGCTTGTGTCGTATGTAAAAAGCCAGAAGGAACGGTCCATCAGGGCGTTTTGGTGTCTTAACCGACCGATAGGGTATTACGAAGTCGTCAAATCAGCGAGTAGTGGACTCAGGGGAAAAGGATCATATATTAACGAAATAAGGGTTCTCAACGCATTGGCGGAATAAGTAATGAGATGAAATTCGCATGCATTTTAGACATCCTCTGGAATAACTGAAACCAATGGCGACGAGAAATCCATCTCCTCCACGTGATGCAAGTGGATCGTCAACACCCCCGGTCGCAGACAATATTGGCGAGACCGCGTACAGCAAAATGTGGCTCTATTCGCTCATTTTGAGGGTCCTAAAGTTTCTTCAGGCGGAGCCTGGAGATCCTGATACAATTTTATCCGATTCTATTGACAGCGAACTGGAGGAGGAACTGTGTTGCCTCTGGGACATAACTGTGAACCGGGAGGTTTTGCCTCACCTTCGTGAGTTCCGTCTCGTTCCTGTCTTCTCCGGCGCCGTGGCCCGTGTTCTCTGTCCGCGCCTAACAGTTAGTTTGCCTCACCGACCTTCTCAACTCTCACCTTCCAGGAGATTTCTTTGGGCATCTTGGCCAATCTGGCTCTCGACGAAAGCGAGTGCACCCAAATGACCGAAGAGCCGGCTTTCATGTAAGGGTGACAAAGCGGTCGTGCATAAAATAATTCTGTGTCTAGCACAAACATTTTGAATCTCATGGGTTCGACTGACACGCGCATTTTGATGGAGCTCTTTAGGTAAGTCATTCTTGTTTCCTTTTTTAACTTGCCCGACCTCTCTCTTCTTACAGGCTCTTGCAAGCCGCTCTGGCGTCCCACTCCAATAGACAAGCCTGGCTTGATGCCATCCACTTTACTCCGGAATTTTTTGACAGAGCCACTTTCATCCTCTGCAGCTCTACAAATGGTGGGCTCCAGCACTTTTATAATATTCCGAATCTCCTACCTTAAAGCTGGTCTCCTAGTAAATACCATCAGTGCCGTGGAAACCATCGTCCGGGTGGATGACAGCATTTCGGAGGTTTGGTGCAATGACCAGTTGCTCAGCGCGATTCTAGAAGCACAAAAACAAATGCAGTATGTTTTTTGGCTCACAGGAAACCTCTTTATGTAAACTTTTATTTAACCAAGCTGGCTGCATGGAGACGAAGTCGAGGTGATCCACCGCCTCCTGTACATCTTTTCTTCGAACCGCACCGGCGTCCAGACGTTGAGTAAGTCCGCGTCAGGAAGTTGATATAGTCTCTGCTTTTTTCGGTAAAAAGAGATGGATTTTTAGTCGAAACATAGACTATAAAGTGAAATAATAAATGGGTGGGAAACAAGGATCGTCAGACGAACATGAGAGGTCGGCGTTTCGAGTCCGTCTGGTGACAATCGTTTCCTGGCTGTACGCGTTCTCTTCTTGCAATCTGCTCCAACTAGAAATCTGTCATACAAACATGTTTTCGGAGGTCATCTGCTCCCCTCTATCCGCCATTTTCCCTTCTCCCCCTTCCCCAGTCACTGAGGGTGAAATGCAGTGTTACTTTCTAAGTCCAGCCTTGCTTGATGAAAATTTGGGGATTTTCATTCTTTGAGGTTGTCACTGTGCTACCCTGCATCCCTCGCTCATGATCGTCACCTAGTCTGGATGATTACGCCCACATTCCTGGATGAAATAACTGCGTTGGTTCAGTCGCCTACACAGACATTCCTAAATATGCTGCTGCCAACTCTTTTACTCCATGTGTCTTTGGAAAAGGTCTTCCCGCCATCAGGGGTCGCTTCTAAACTGCTGCCTCTGTAGCCACGTTGTCAGCAGACTAAGCTGTCGCGTCCGACCCTATCGCTACAGTAACTCGGGCACGAAGTTGTTGAGGGCTTTTGTATTCCGTCTTCTTGCCACCGAATTGGACAGTCTTGAACTTTTTACTGTAATCGCTCTCCGTATATTGAGGCGAAATCACGATCGTGTGTTAAGCTCTCCGACATTTCAGCAAAGTTCCCATGTTTATGAAACAACGAAAAGCTGATAACCGTTGTTTAACTCCCCATGAAGTACACACGACAGTTCGGCTGTCATGACCGACGATGTCCACCATGTGCTCCACAACAGGTTGAGAGCAGGAGCGGTGACTTACGCGTAAGCTTTCGCTGCATCTAACGCACTCGCTCCTCCTCCCTCACCTGGGCCCGGTGTCACCACAGAGCCAAGAGGACAGGGGGGCGGGGGAGGGCGCAGATGGTAGGCTCGGCGAAAACCCGCACCCAGACGTACCACCACACCCCCCGGTTCAAAATAGATACTGCGCAGGATTTTATACAGCGAGAAAAAAGGGAGCGACTCGAATCCCAATTGTCGCAGCATGCGCCGGCAACAAGGCCTGCCGCCATGCCCCAAATTTTGGCATTTTTGTGGGTGTGCATTCCCATTATCGCCCGCTGGAACCCTATCAACCCCCGGGGCTGGTCCTGCGCATCTATCTCATGCCCCCCTTCTAGAGGCAAAACACAAACGTTCGACCGTCGTTGCCGACAATGTCCAGTGTGTTCTCCACAGCAAGGAGAGGTAGGCACGGTGACTTGCATGCGAGTTATTTTATAGTAATAGTAGACTTGCACTGCATCTACCGCACTCCCTCCCCTCCCACCTGGACCCGGTGTCAAGACAGAGTCAAGAGAACCGGAGGCGGGGGAGGGCGCAGGTGTATGGTTCGGCCGAACCCTCACCTTGACGCTTCACTCCACAGCGCCTGTCCCACACAGCAGTTGACCACGATTCTAACCAGCAAAGTAGGGAGGGAGCGGCAGGGATCCCAATGTGCGCGAGGTGAGCCGGCAACTGGGTCTGCCACCGCACTCCGAAATGTTGGCATTTGTTATGGTACGCGTTACGATAACACCTGCCAGAATCCGATATGGCCCTAGTGTTGGTCCAGCTCATCAACCGCGTGGCCCATTTGGGGGTATAGAGGCAAAACACCTAAAGCGGATCATGCAGTGGGTACGTTGGACCAAGACGAGGGAGCACATCAGGGAACGACAGTAGTTACTGGGAATGCGTACCCCATATCTAATGCTAAACATGGGTGGAGACTATGGTGGTATGCATAGGTACAGTCTCTCGCCACGCCAGCCACCTGCGTCCCCCCTCAACTCCGGTCTTCTTGACCCTGTAATGACACCAGGTCCGGGTGGGTGAAGGCGAGCGTGTGAGGAAGACGCATCTCAAGTCAACCATCACTACAAACCAGCGCTCAAGCCGAGGGCTCAAGATGAAGGGGTAGGGATTAGCTACACTACAGGCCTGACTACGATATGTTCCTACCACTGATCCCAACTTGCTTCCAGCTTTGAGTACTGCTCCAGAAAACTGCTTTGGTCTCAATGGACACACTCCGAGAACTAAGTAAACCGGGCGAACTAGACCAGGTGAAAGTAGCTAGTGCCTTTCTGACTTACAAATTCGGATGAAACTCGATTTATTTGTGACACGCTTTGATGTGGCTGAATAACCTGGGATCTGAACCTACATTCTTTGGTCATTGAGCGTTGTTCAACCCAACGCCTTACCATTGAGCCTCGGGCACGTTGTTCTGTCACCTGCTACCAGGAATATTCACTGCCATGATAAGCCTTATTGCGACTTAGTACGCAGTTCGAGCTGGATTCCCAGGTCATCCGGGCCTGAGGTTGGATATGGCTGTCTGACGATGGCCTATAAGCCAGAGCTGGCCATCCCGGTCTCCCTCGCCTTTGTCGACATTCCTATGTAATTTATTTTTCTCTATGCGACTGTGCAACGGGACGAGCATGTCCCGTAACCACCACAGTTAGCTTATCGTTGCCCCCAGCTCAGGTTGCAGACCTGTCAACTCTGAGGGTCCAAGTGTCCCATTCGTCCCCTGGTAATTCCCTGTTGACTGTGGGCATTGTGTTGAACACTGGCCTGAGGCACCTCGATCGGCTGGGTATGGTGAATTTCTCGATTATTCGTGAGGTCTGGGCCAAAGTAACTGTGGATATTTGACTATTGATGAACTCAAGTGATATCTGAAACGCACCGAACCATGTGGGAACTAACGCGCGTGCTACGCGTAGATACGACGTTGGTGTTTTCAGGCACTGCGCCTGTGCTCATCTGCAGTCGTCCCAACTTTATCTTACCAATGAACCACGGTAGGCGTGGGAGAAGTTAGTGAGGTAGATGCGGCGAAAGTCCGCCTCGCGGTAAAGAGCCCACGCGCATGTCCTAACTGTCCCCTCACCGAGATAATGTTGTGGTCCGAGGAGGACGCACTTATTACCTTAGACAGGCGCGTCTTTATACGTTTGGAGTCATGCACTGTAGATCATTGGACAAGCAGGGAAATTTACTGGGAGTGAAGAAGAGGATACGTCGGGGACGTCTATCTATCAACTATATGCCACTTCGAATAGTCTTTAAGCTGCTGTCAAGGTCTGAACGCCGTGGCGAAATCAAACAAAATTTGACTAGGAATCCAACTGGGCGACTGATGAGTCATCAACCATCCGCAGATTCACCTGCCTCACTTGGCCGAGGTACAACCATCGTTGCATCAATTCAACAAGTGCGAACTACTAAGTCAACTTGAGTCTGTCATCTTGAAGAAGAAGACAGTCTCGAATACCTCGGGGCGAGGCTGCTGCCGAATGGACAGGGTAAGGACGACATTGTTTCCCGAATCGACACTGCACCCTGGGTTTCCTCGAGCGTAGGATAGTGTCTATAGACCTGACGCGGCATCTTCGCTGACATGAAGATTCGCGTGTACCGTGCATCCGTTCGGTCAGTCATTCTCACTGTCAATGAATTCCGGACTGTGTGCGCAGAAGATAAACGAAAACTGGATGAATTTGACCACCGCTGCTTGAGGACCATTCCTCGAGTGAAGTACACCGACATCGTCTCAAATGAGACAGTCCTCAATCGCTGCGAGGATATTCCTGGTCATCCAATAAAGAATCCGGTGGTTTGGGCACGTTGGTTGTCGTCCATCTCACGGGCTTAGTCTTGCTGGCCTTGATCCGGCGCTGTAACCCACTTGAAGGCGTCGACGAGGAAGTCAACTCACAGCCTGGCTCGACGCAGTCCGTTAAGCCATGGAAGCAGTTCTTGGACCGTCGGTATTTGGTTTGCTTCGCTGGGGAGGAGAATGGGTTAAGTTGTCCAGGTCTGCTGCTGCGGATCGCCACGCAGAGAGAGAAAGAGAGAGGGAGAGA